ACATTAGAAAACAACACTTTCCAAAAGTTAACCTCATCAAAGTTTGCTTGTACTCATTAGTCAAAATGCAGTTTACTTTTAATTAAAAAGCCTACTTTAAAAGTTTACCTAAAGTTTACATCTTTACCCAGGGACGTGTTTGTACACTCTGGCACACTTACTAAAAAGTTCGAGAGGGGTATCGGTAATATTTGTGATCGCTTTATTGACATTTACCTCGTGACGGTATGTGTTAGCCTCCTTCGCAGTCTTGTTGGGCGTGGGCGTTATTTTTTTCTGTGAGCGACGCGAGTAATATGCGGCCGGGAGGGACGATTTGCTTCAACAGCGAATCCTTCTCTCGGCCGTAAAAACTCCCTCGGCAGCAAATCGTCCCTCGCGGCCGCATATTACTCGCGTCGCTCACAGACAAAAATAACGCCGACAAGACTGCGAAGGAGGCTAGTGTGTGGTGGGTGGTTCCATTTGTGTTTTTGGGAGGGGTAGCAGACGTGACGACGTACGGTAATCAGCACAAGGCAGCCATAATACTGAGGGATAAACTGCGGAATTTTTTATTGCATTTTCAAGAAAGTATTACAGTTGTAGGAATACAAATAAAGTATACGTGGTATACAAGACACGAAAAAAAACTAAATAGTAATCCAAAATAGTTTACAAACGGTTTCCTAATTTACGAGATAATTGTGTAGTGTTCCCCATTTTCCCATTTGTTTCTTTACTTCTTTACAACTCTGTTCAATAATAAACTCAATCTTACAATAAGTGCTAACGAATTGAACAAAACCATTTAAGGCAACTACTTCGGAATCTCTATTTAGGAAAATATACATTTTTTCTAGTAGAATAACTGTATTAACAATAGATGCCAATTTGTTTGTCATGTCGCTGTTTGCGTTGGGCGCCGTTTTTTATCAAGTATTGATACGGACTTTTGGACTCTCACTTGAAGCTTTAAATGGTCTAGCCGTGCTCTATACAGAGCATAAAGTTTTGGTGCCCATGTCCATTTCCGTAGCCCTTGGGCGACACACAATTGTGCAGGCACTACAGCAGGGGGCTAGTCCGCTGGTAGTGCTGTGTGCTTGACCTTCCCACACTCTTTCTCATATGTGCTGAGTGCTAGGTAGAGAAAGAAGTGTGTACCATTGTATGACCCGGCCGGGGTTTGAACTCACGACCTCCCGGTTACAAAGCAAGCACTCTACCAATTGAGCTATTGCACCGGTATGGGGCCACAGCAAAAAGCTTTGAGCGATCTATCATTGATGTTTACGTATGTAATGTCGCCTTAGGACGTTTCATTCTAGGTGCTCCTATACTTGTTGGGAAAACATGAATTATATGTCTCGTAGGACAAACACACGAAACACCACAAGGTATGGAAAAACGCTCCTAGGGGGGGGGGGCTAAAGCAATTCTTTATCGAGCAACATTTTTCAACCTCAACGTTTACGTTAGATGTATATTCAATACTAGTATATAAAGGTTTGAAATCGATAACCTTCTTAAATTTGATTGGTGATGCAAATATTCTAAAGGGCTTACAATGGTATCGACCCCTTTACCTCTTGATGCGATAAATTCGGAGTTCTTCGGCACTGCACTTAAACAAAAATAAAATATTGTCTCCTCCTGTTCTCAAGTTCTTTTTTGTTAAGAAACAGACCTGTAAGTTCGTGGGGATAGGGAGGTGGGGTGAGGGTGCTATATAGCGCTGGCTATTATACTACTGGCTATATAACTGGCTATTAGTAGAATAATGTCAAAAAGTTAAAGTTTAGTAGAATTTCTAGGAAATTAGTAATTCTTATGTCGCGTTGTATAAATACACGAATCACCGCAATGATGAAAAACTGGCGCCTAAAACAACTCTTTATTGAAAAGCATTTAAACTTTAAAAAATCATAGTACAACCTTATCAAAGTCCACTTAACATAATGGTAGAGTCAAAATATGGGGAGTTCAAATTGCAAACATTTTTGAACATAATTAATGATACAAATATTTAAGTACACCGACAACAGTCCTACAAATATAATGTACGAAAAAAAGTAAAGATCCATCTAGAAATCGTCCGTAGGCTTCAAAGATTCAACTTGAAGTGTAGAATTACATTGTATTGTAACGCCACTAATGGATTAATGGCTTTATGTCAATATATGTATATAGCAATGTGAAGGCTTTAACATTTGTAATGGACATGGAAAATCTCAAAGAATCGGGACTACATTGAGAAAACACAATTATCCGTTATGAGTCCCAAGTACAATTCTACTTACATGGAATAGAGGGAGTTAGCAAGTTGTTAAAAGAAAGTTTTCATTTTACTTGGAAAAACTTTATAGAATTACTAACATCTACATTGACAAAAAGATTCCACTTACATGGAATAGAAGGAGTTAGGAAGTTGTTAATACCATTAGAAAGTTTTCATTTTACTTGGAAAAACTTGATAGAATTACCAAGTTCGGAAACGACCACATGTCCGTCGTGAGTCAGCGTCAGTCCCAGTGGAAAATACAGTCCGTGTTCCTCCCGTGTCAGCACGTGTCTGATAAACGCGCCGTCCCGACTGAACAGGGAAACCTTATCAAAGTTTACTTTACGTAATGGTAGAGTTAACATATGGGAAGTTCAAATTGCAAACATTTTTGAACATAATTGATGATACGAACATACAAGTACACCGACAACAGTCCAACAGATATTATGTACAAAAAAAGTAAAGATCCAACTAGCAATCGTCCGTAGGCTTCAAAGATTCAACTTGAAGTGTAGAATTACATTGTATTGTAACGACACACATGGATCAATGGCTTTATGTCAATATATGTATATACCAATGTGAAGGCTTTAACATTTGTAATGGACATGGAAAATCTCAAAGAATCGGGACTTCATTGAGAAAAAACAATTATCCGTTATGAGTCCCAAGTACTATTCCACTTGCATGGAATAGAGGGAGTTAGGAAGTTGTTAAAAGAAAGTTTTCATTTTACTTGGAAAACTTGATAGAACCACCAGATTCAGAAACGACCAAATGTCCATCGTGAGTCAGCGTCAGTCCCATTGGAACGTACAGTCCGTGTTCCTCCCGTGTCAGCACGTGCCTGATAAACGCGCCGTCCCGACTGAACAGGGAAACGCGATGCCGATGGTTGTCGCAGTCATCAGCCACGATGATGTTGTCCTCGCTGTCCGTGATCACACAGTAGGGGCTGTGCAGCTGACCACGTCTTAAATAGAAGGAGTTTGAAAGCTATTTTTTTATTTTACATTGAAAAACTTGATATGATTAGAAAGACATTCAGAAATGACCAATTGTCCGTCGTGAGTCAGCGTCAGTCCCATTGGCCATGCCAGTCCGTGTTCCTCCTCTGTCAGCACGTGCCTGATAAACGCGCCGTCCCGACTGAACAGGGAAACGCGCTGGTTGTAACAGTCGGCCACGATGATGTTGTCCTCGCTGTCCGTGATGACACAGTGGGGCCAGTGCAGCTGACCAGGTCCCGAGCCTTGTGACCCGCACGTGAAGAGATGACGACCGGCGGAGTCAAATATCTTCAAGTTGGGGTTCCAATGGTCACTGACGATGATCTGGTTGCTGCTGTTGACGGTCACGCGGAGGGTGGAACCAAACTGCTGCTGACCTTGACCTTTGTCCCCGAACTTCAGCATGACGTCACCGCTGGGACTGAGTACGAACACTTGGTGCCCGATAGTGACGATGATGCGTCCCGAACCGTCAACAGCGATGCCGGATGTGGTTTTATCTGTCTCTGCAGCCCCTGTCACCTGGATGACGCGTGACTTCCTCCCCTGTTTGTCCAGAACGTGAATTTTGTGTCCGTCTCCTGTCACCAACAGCTCGCCGTTTGTCAGTGCCGCCACGCACAGAGGCTTGAACCCCAGATCGACCTTCTTCTTGAAGCAGCCATCTTTGTCTAGAAACTGCAGCCGTGAGTTGTTATGATCAGTCGCGACAATGTCTCCGTCTGCGGTGACAGCGAGCGAGTTCGCAAGGTAAAACTCTCCATCTCCATTGCCCTCCTCCCCAACAGTTTTTGATGTGTTCTAGACTCACGTCGCCATTACCGATCTCCACGTTCAGTCGCACCTGCGGAGTCGGTGGGATCAAAGGTGTTCTCACCTGGTTTATCCCACCTACAAGTTTAGAGACTTCCTGCTCCAGTCGGCCAGCTGGTGGGTCAAAGGTCAAGTTCACAAAGTTCACGGTCAGTTCCGCCCTCTCGGCGCTTTTGTCCTCCGCGGTTCGGTCCAACCGTCCGGTCAGTTCTCCGGCCACCGAGATGACCTCCGCCGGGCTGCCGTACTCCAACACGTTGTCCGCGAACTGGACACAGCTCCTGGCCGAGGCCAGGTCCATCTCAGCTGCCTCCATGGCGGCGTCCATCTGTTTCTCCCGAGCAGCATTCATGGCGCGAAGCTGGCCGATTCTGTCGTCTCCCGCCTTCTCCGCGGCCTCGATGATCGCCTTGACTTGTTTCCTGACCTGTTCTTCTGTACGCCGTACCTCTGAAGGCCACTCGTCCCTCACTGACTGCAACTGTTGTCTCCACGTCTCATGCAGGCCTACTGTGTTCTTGACTGTTGTCACTTTTGCCTGGATCTTTGCTCCCTCCCTCTCTGCCGCCTTCTCTATCTCCACATACTGGTGCTCTTTGTGCACCGTGACCACGCAGTGCAGACAGATGACCCGCTGGCAGGTGTCACAGTAAAACTTGTTCAGTTCGCGGTGATCCTCACACTTGGAGGTCTCCCTTGCCCGGAGCTCGGCGGCAGCTTGGCCGGATTGCAGGTCTTGAACCGTTACAAGTTGGTGGGACCGGTTCCCTTTGAAGCGACGGTGCATGTCGTCACACGTGTGACACAGGTAGTCGGTACACTCCACGCAGTAAAACTGGGCCAAGTTGCCGGCCTCACAGACCGTACAGGGGACTCCATCCTCCCGCGCCTCGGACGTTTTTCCTGCCAACTGTTGTTGCAGAATGTCGCGCAGTTTGCCGACGAGGAAGTTGGACTTCAGCCCCTGGACGCCATTCTCGGGGAGGGGCACGTCCTGTCGGCATGTCGGACAGTCCAGTTTCCCTACCGGCTCTGCGGCCAGGAGCCTCTCCAAACACGGCTGGCAGAAGGTGTGAAGACACGGCAGCATCTTAGGCTGCCTGAAGTCCTCCAGACAGACCTGGCAGACGAGAAACTCGTCGGCAATGTCGCTGACTGCGTTGGACGCCATCTTTACCTAAGGACGTGTTTGTACACTCTGGCACACTTACTGAAACGTGGAGAGGGGCATCGGTAATATTTGTGATCGCTTTATTCACTTTTACCTCGTGACGGTGTGTGGTAGCCTCATTCGCAGTCTTGTTGGGCGTCGGCGTAATTTTTTCTGTGAGCGACGCGAGTAGTATGCGGCCGCGAGGGACGATTTGCTGCCGAGGGAGTTTTTTTCACCGAGAGAAGGATTCGCGCGATCGCGCTGTTGGAGAGAGAATCCGCATATTACTCGCTTCGCTCACAGAAAAAAAATAACGCCGACGCCCAACAAGACTGCGAAGGAGGCTAGTGTGTGGTGGGTGGTTCCATTTGTGTTTTTGGGAGGGGTAGCAGACGTGACGTCATATGGTAATCAGCACAAGGCAGCCATAATACTGACGGAATTTTTTTATTGCATTTTCAACAAAGTATTACAGTTGTAGGAATACAAATAAAGTATACGTGGTATACAAGACAAAAAACTAAATAGTAATTAAAAACAGTTTACAACCGGTTTCCTAATCAACGAGATAATTGTGTACTGTTCCCCATTTTCCATATGTTTCTTTAGTTTTTGACAATTCTGTGCAATAATAAACTCAATCTTACAATAAGTACTAGCGAATTTAATAAAACATTTTAAGGCAACTACTTTGGAATCTCTATTTCGGAAAATATACATTTTTTTGCTAGTAGAATAGCTGTATAAAAAATATATGCCAATTTGTTTGTCATGTCGCTGTTTGCGTTGGGCGCCGTTCTTATCAAGTATTGATACGGACTTTTGGACTCTCACTTGAAGCTTTAAATGGTCTAGCCGTGCTCTATACAGAGCATAGGGTTTTGGTGCCCATATGTCCATTTCCGTAGCCCTTGGGCGACACACAATTGTGCAGGGCACTACAGCAGGGGGCTAGTCCGCTGGTAGTGCTGTCTGCTTGACCTTCCCACACTCTTTCTCATATGTGCTGAGTGCTAAGCAGAGAAAGAAGTGTGTACCATTGTATGACCCGGCCGGGGTTTGAACTCCCGGTTACAAAACGAGCACTCTACCAACTGAGCTATTGCTGTGGCCCCCTTTTGGACTCTCATATGAAGCTTTAAATGGGGCCACAGCAAAAAAGCTTTGAGCGATCTATCATTGATGTTTACGTATGTAATGTCGCCTTACGACGTTCCATTCTAGGTGTTCCTATACTTGTTGGGAAACATGAGTTATATGTCTCGTAGGATAAACACACGAAACACCATAAGGTATTGAAAAACGCTGCTAGGGGGGCCTAAAGCAATTCTTTATCGAGCAACATTTTCAACCTCAACGTTTACGTTAGATTTATATTCAATACTAAAATATAAAGGTTTGAAATCGATAACCTACATAAATTTAATTGGTGATGCAAATATATTAAAGGGCTTACAATGGTATCTACCCCTTTACCTGTTGATGTGATAAATTCGGAGTTTTTCGGCACTGCACTTAAACAAAAATAAAATATTGTCTCCTTCTGTTCTCAAGTTCTTTTTTGTTTAGAAACAGACCTTTATTATAATTTCGTTGGGATAGGGAGGTGGGGTGGGGGTGCTATTTAGCGCTGGCTATCATACTACTGGCTATATAACTGGCTATTAGTAGTATAATGTTAAAAAGTTAAAATTCAGTAGAATTTGTAGGAAATTATTTTTATGTCGCGTTGTATAAATACACCAAACACCGCAATGATGAAAAACTGATTAAATGGTGCCTAAAACAACTCTTTATTGAAAAGCGTTTAAAGTTTAAAAAATCATATTTCAACCTTATTAAAGTTTACTTTACGTAATGGTAGAGTCAAAATATGGGGAGTTCAAATTGCAAACATTTTTGAACATAATTGATGATACAAATAGATAAGTGCACCGACAAAAGTCCTACAAATATAATGTACGAAAAAATGTAAAGATCCAACTAGCAATCGTCCGTAGGCTTCAAAGATTCAACTTGAAGCGTATAATTACATTGTATCCTAACGACACACATGGGTCAATGGCTTTATGTCAATATATGTATATGTATATAGCAATATAATGTAAAGGCTTTAACATTTGTAATGGACATTAAAAATGTACATTGAGAAACAAACAATTATCCGTCATGAGTCCCAAGTACAATTCCACTTACATGGAATAGAGGGAGTTAGCAAGTTGTTAAAAGAAAGTTTTCATTTTACTTGGAAAACTTGATAGAACCACCAAATTCAGAAACGACCAAATGTCCGTAGTGAGTCAGCGTCAGTCCCAGTGGAAAATACAGTCCGTGTTCCTCCCGTGTCAGCACGTGCCTGATAAACGCGCCGTCCCGACTGAACAGGGAAACACGATGGTTGAAAAGGGCGGCCACGATGATGTTGTCCTCGCTGTCCGTGATGACATAGTGGGGGCGAATCAACTGACTAGGTCTTAAATAGAAGGAGTTTGGAAGCTGCTTTTTTATTTTACATTGAAAAACTTGATATGATTAGAAATACATTCAGATTCAGAAACGACCAAATGTCCGTCGTGAGTCACCGTCAGTCCCACTGGATAATACAGTCTGTGGTCCTGCCGTGTCAGCACGTGCCTGATAAACGCGCCGTCCCGACTGAACAGGGAAACGCGATGGTTGTGCCAGTCGGCCACGATGATGTTGTCCTCGCTGTCCGTGATGACACAGTGGGGGTGGATCAGCTGACCAGGTCCCGAGCCAGGTGACCCGCACGTGAAGAGATGACGACCGGCGGAGTCAAATATCTTCAAGTTGTTGTTGTTCCAGTCACTGACGATGATCTGGTTGCTGCTGTTGACGGTCACATCGAGGACGGAACCCAACTGCTGCGGACCTTGACCTTTGTCCCCGAACTTCAGCATGACGTCACCGCTGGGACTGAGTACAAAAACTTGGTCCCCGATAGTGACGATGATGCGTCCTGAACCGTCAACAGCGATGCCTCTCGTAGTTCCATCTGTCTCTGCAGCCCCTGTCACCTGGATGACGCGTGACTTCCTCCCCTGTTTGTCCAGAAAGTGAATCTTGTGTCCGTCTTCTGTCACCAACAGCTCGCCGTTTGTCAGTGCCGCCACGCACCAAGGCTCGAACCCCAGATCGACCTTCTTCTTGAAGCAGCCATCTTTGTCCAGAAACTGCAGGCGTGAGTTGCCATAATCAGTCACGACAATGTCTCCCTCTGCGGTGACAGCGAGCGAGGACGAAAAGTTAAACTGTCCATCTCCATTGCCCTCCTCCCCAACAGTTTTGACGTGTTCTAGACTCACGTCGCCATTACCGATCGCCACGTTCGGTCGCACCTGCGGAGTCGGTGGGATCAAAGGTGTTCTCACCTGGTTTATCCCACCTACAAGGTTAGCGACTTCCTGCTCCAGTCCGCCAGCTGGTGGGTCAAAGGTCAAGTTCACAAAGTTCACGGTCAGTTCAGCCCTCTCTGCGTTTTTGTCCTCCGCGGTTCGGTCCAACCGTCCGGTCAGTTCTCCGGCCACCGAGATGACCTCCGCCGGGCTGCCGTACTCCAACACGTTGTCCGCGAACTGGACACAGCTCCTGGCCGAGGCCAGGTCCATCTCAGCTGCCTCCATGGCGGCGTCCATCTGTTTCTCCCGAGCAGCATTCATGGCGCGAAGCTGGCCGATCCTGTCGTCTCCCGCCTTCTCCGCGGCCTCGATGATCGTCTTGACTTGTTTCCTGACCTGTTCTTCTGTACGCCGTACCTCTGAAGGCCACTCGTCCCTCACTGACTGCAACTGTTGTCTCCACGTCTCATGCAGGCCTATTGTGTTCTTGACTGTCGCCACTTTTGCCTTGATCTTTGCCCCCTCCCTCTCTGCCGCCTTCTCTATCTCCACATACTGGTGCTCTTTGTGCGCCGTGACCACGCAGTGCAGACAGACGACCCGCTGGCAGGTGTCACAGTAGAACTTGTTCACTTCGCGGTGATCCTCACACTTGGAGGTCTCCCTTGCCCGGAGCTCGGCGGCAGCTTGGCCGGATTGCAGGTCTTGAACCGTTACAAGTTTGTGGGACCGGTTTCCTTTGAAGCGACGGTGCATGTCGTCACACGTCTGGCACAGGTAATCGGTACACTCCACGCAGTAAAAATGAGCCGAGTTGCCGGCCTCACAGACCGTACAGGGGACTCCATCCTCCCGCGCCTCGGACGTTTTTCCTGCCGACTGTTGTTGCAGAATGTCGCGCAGTTTGCCGACGAGGAAGTTGGACTTCCGCCCCTGGACGCCATTCTGGGGGAGGGGCACGTCCTGTCGGCATGTCGGACAGTCCAGTTTCCCTACCGGCTCTGCGGCCAGGAGCTTCTTCAAACACGGCTGGCAGAAGGTGTGAAGACACGGCAGCATCTTAGGCTGCCTGAAGTCCTCCAAACAGACCTGGCAGACGAGAAATTCGTCGGCAATGTCGCTGAATGCGTTGGACGCCATCTTTACCCGGGGACGTGTTTGTACACTCTGGCACACTTACTGAAACGTCGAGAAGGGCATCGGTAATATTTGTGATCGCTTTATTGACTTTTACCTCGTGACGGTATGTGGTAGCCTCCTTTGCAGTCTTGTTGGGTGTCGGCGTTATTTTTTTCTGTGAGCGACGCGAGTAATATGTGGCCACGAGGGACGATTTGCTGCCGAGGAAGTTTTTGCCACCGAGAGAAGGATTCGCGCTGTTGGAGAGAGAATCCGCATATTACTCGCGTCGCTCACAAAAAAAATAACGCCCACGCCCAACAAGACTGCGAAGGAGGCTAGTGTGTGGTGGGTGGTTCCATTCGTGTTTTGGGAGGGGTAGCAGACGTGACGTCATATGATAATCAGCACAAGGCAGCCATAATACTGAGGGATAAACTGCGGAATTTTTTAATTGCATTTTCAAGAAAGTATTAAAGTTGTAGGAATACAAATAAAGTATACGTGGTATACAAGACAAAAAAACTAAATAGTAATGCAAAACAGTTTCCAAACGGTTTCCTAATTTACGAGATAATTGTGTAGTGTTCCCCATTTTCCCATATGTTTCTTTACTTTTTGGCAATTCTGTGCAATAATAAACTCAATCATACAATAAGTACTAACGAATTTAACAAAATCTTTTAAGGCAACTACTTCGGAATCTCTATTTCGGAAAATATACATTTTTGCTAGTAGAATAGCAGTATTAACAATAGATGCCAATTTGTTTGTCATGTCGCTGTTTGCGTTGGGCGCCGTTCTTATCAAGTATTGATACGGACTTTTGGACTCTCACTTGAAGCTTTAAATGGTCTAGCCGTGCTCTATACAGAGCATAGGGTTTTGGTGCCCATGTCCATTTCCGTAGCCCTTGGGCGACACACAATTGTGCAGCGCACTACAGCAGGGGGCTAGTCCGCTGGTAGTGCTGTGTGCTTGACCTTCCCACACTCTTTCTCATATGTGCTGAGTGCTAAGCAGAGAAAGAAGTGTGTACCATTGTATGACCCGGCCGGGGTTTGAACTCCCGGTTACAAAACGAGCACTCTACCAATTGAGCTATTGCACCGGTATGGGGCCACAGCAAAAGGCTTTGAGCGATCTATCATTGATGTTTACGTGTGTAATGTCGCCTTAGGACGTTCCATTCTAGGTGTTCCTATACTTGTTGGGAAAACATTATAGAGTTATATGTCTCGTAGAACAAACACACGAAACACCACAAGGTATTGAAAACGCTGCTAGGGGGCCTAAAGCAATTCTTTATCGAGCAACATTTTCAACCTGAACGTTTACGTTAGATGTATATTCAATACTAAGATATAAAGGTTTGAAATCGATAACCTACATAAATTCAATTGGTGATGCAAATATATTAAAGGGCGCACAATGGTATCTACCCCTTTACCTCTTGATGTGATAAATTCGGAGTTTTTCGGCACTGCAATTACACAAAAATAAAATATTGTCTCCTGTTCTCAAGTTCTTTTTTGTTTAGAAGCAGACCTGTAAGTTGTCGTGGGGAGAAGGGGGTGGCTATTATACTAGTGGCTATATAACTGGCTATTAGTAGAATAATGCCTAAACGTTAAAGTTCAGTAGAATTTCTAGGAAATTAGTACTTTTTATGTCGCGTTGTATAAATACACGCAACACCGCAAAAATAAAAAACTGACTAAATGGTGCCTAAACACATCTTTATTAAAAAGCATTTAAAGTTTAAAAAATCATATTTCAACCTTATTAAATACTTTACTTTACGTAATGGTAGAGTCAAAATATGGGGAGTTCAAATTGCATACATTTTTTAACATAATTGACGATACAAATATACAAGTACACCGACAACAGTCCAACAGATATAATGTACAAAAAAGTAAAAATCCAACTACCAATCGTCCGTAGGCTTCAAAGATTCAACTTGAAGTGTAAAATTAAATTATATCCTAACGGCACGCATGGATCAATGGCTTTATGTCAATATATGTATATGTATATAGCAATATAATGTAAAGGCTTTAACATTTGTAATGGACATGAAAAAATTACATTGAGAAACAAACAATTATCCGTCATGAGTCCCAAGTACAATTCTACTTACATGGAATAGAGGGAGTTAGGAAGTTGTTAAAAGAAAGTTTTCATTTTACTTGGAAAAACTTTATAGAATTACTAACATCAGAAACGACCAAATGTCCGTAGTGAGTCAGCGTCAGTCCCAATGGAAATACCAGTCCGTGTTCCTCCTGGGTCAGCACGTGCCTGATAAACGCGCCGTCCCGACTGAACAGGGAAACGCGATGGTTGTCACAGTCAGCCACGATGATGTTGTCCTCGCTGTCCATGATGACACAGCGGGGCCATTTCAGCTGACCAGGTCCAGGGCCACGTGACCCGCACGTGAAGAGATGACGACCGGCGGAGTCAAATATCTTCAAGTTGTGATTGCAACAGTCACTGAAGATGATCTGGTTGCTGCTGTCGACGGTCACACGGACACGGAGGACGGAACCCAACTGCTGCGGACCTTGACCTTTGTCCCCTAACTTCAGCATGACGTCACCGCTGGGACTGAGAACGAAAATTTGGTGCCCGATAGTGACGATGATGCGCCCCGAACTGTCAACAGCGATGCCGTTTGTAGTTTGATCTGTCTCTGCTGCCCCAGTCACCTGGATGACGCGTGACTTCCTCCCCTGTTTGTCCAGAACGCGAATCTTGTGTCCGTCTCCTGTCACCAACAGCTCGCCGTTTGTAGTGCCACCACGCACCAAGGGTCGAACCCCAGATCAACCTTCTTCTTGAAGGAGCCATCTTTGTCCAGGAACTGCAGACGTGAGTTGAAACAATCAGTCACGACAATGTCTCCCTCTGCGGTGACAGCGAGCGAGGTCGGAAGGTTAAACTCTCCATCTCCACTGCCCCTCTTACCAACAGTCTTGACGTGTTCTAGACTCACTGTGTAAAACTCTATGTGTAAAACTGTATCGTAACGGCACAGATTGATCGATCACATTATATATATTGCACGCTCTAGATTTATGTTAAAGTGATATTATGTAGGATTTTCGCGCCAAAACTGAAAATACAAATAATTGAAATTTTCTCATGTAGATTGTCATTTTCGATAACTTTCAACGTATCAGCGTCGCTATTTCGCCTTTTCGGCAACTCAGCGCAGCGCGAGAATAAGTTGCGCAAGGCCAGATGTATTTATGTGTGCCACAATAAATAGACTGTAAACAAACAACGGTTTTCGTTCGGAAATCTTAGGCAACTTCCGGCGCGTGTCTGGGTTCCATGGTTCGAACGCTTTCGAACGCTGGAGTTCGAAGCCGATTGACTTCAAATTTGCCAATTTTTGAAGGGTCAGTACCTAATCTAAAATCCTCTTTTTGTATATACTTGAAAGTTATCATGTCACTTATCATATTGCATGTGGTAACCACATTCATACAGTTTCTCATACCAAGGAACGAAGTTTATGACATTACGCTAAATGTATCAAAATGTTGCGGAAACTCAGAATGGTGTGCGCCGGTAGCTACAACTGGGCTAAAATTTCGTCACCGCGATGTGTGCACCGTCGCGGTTTTCTTTGGGGCAAACCCGTTTGTCCTAAAACTAACCAGGGGACTTTGGTATCGATGTAAAGGTGAGGATGTGGGCTATCACACTGTGGTATTAGCTAATGGGATCCAGTTGGCCAGTAAAAAAAGATAAGCACAGATAAACTGACCAAAAATGCTAATGTTTGGAAGGCCATAACGATCGGTGTCATTTTGTAATGCACGAAATATCTACATTGTTGTACTAGGCAAATCCTGTAGATATGAAAAAGTATAAACGTTACGTATGTCTAAGGTGTTTTTGTTGCACTATTGACAGTTGTCAAATTGTGACCCGGCATATGCCGTATTTTAGAGAATAACGTGTTCTACGGTGACCTGCGGTTCGGCTGGATTCGGGAATGCTCGGACGCGGTCGGATGTAAACAAACATGGCCGCGATCCGCGCTAGCGCCGCGGAGTGCGCAGTTTTCCAACGCGTATTTGCGGCGAAACGACGTTGATATGTTAATCCCCAAATGTCATCATGAAGTCAGGTAGGTGTAAAGAGCAAGAAAATGTGTAAAGAAAGATTTCTAAAATAGTCAAAATTCTACATAATATAGCTTTAACACTCTAAATGTGTTAGCATTTGTTTACTACAATACCACACGTAAAAGCTGAAAATGGGAAGTTTTCACATTTAGAAACTACCACTTCTCCATCATGGGTCACCGCCAGCACAGCTTGATAATTCCCAACCTTATATCATACCCGGGCCGCGATAACGTTCGATAACGGGTTCCGGACCGGTCCGTACTTTACGGTACGGACTGGTCCGGAACCCGTTATCGAACGTTACATAGAACGATGAGTTTTGCCCTAACCGTGTGCGTCGCTTTCGAAAATTCGAACACAGAAATCGGACGTTGGAATGGACGTTGTTGCACTTTTTAGTTTAGGGGCACCAAACTTGGGCTCATTTTGCATTGAAAGGCGTGTTTTCTCTTGGGTGGGTATGGTATAAATAAAATACAACACGGTGTATTCCGCATCGCCCATGTCGCATCCATTGTGACAAGACTTGTTCTGCTCTGTCTTAGTTTCTTGTAAAGTTTCTTTCTGCTTGTTTTTTTTATTTTGAACCAAATAAAAAGGTCCTTCTTGCTCTAGCATTAGTTAATATTGATATCTGTAAAGTACAGTACCACTCACATGCAATAGAACGCACTGTTTATTACAGCCAAAATAAGAAACTTACCATTTATATGCAATAGAGTGCACGTGCAATGTTTATTACATTAGATATAATGAATTTACTTATTTGTTATTTATTATATAAGAGATTCATTTTACTTGGAAAAGCTTGATAGAATGACTATCTTCAGAAACGACCAAATGTCCGTCGTGAGTCAGAGTCAGTCCCCATGGCAGGTACAGTCCGTGTTCCTCCCGTGTCAGCACGTGCCTGATAAACGCGCCGTCCCGACTGAACAGGGAAACGCGACGGTTGAAACAGTCAGCCACGATGATGTTGTCCTCGCTGTCCGTGATGACACAGTCGGGCCAGAACAGCTGACCAGGTCCCGAGCCATATGACCCGCACGTGAAGAGATGACGACCGGCGGAGTCAAATATCTTCAGGTTGTGGTTGTAAAAGTCACTGACGATGATTTGGTTGCTGCTGTTGACGGTCACACGGAGGCGGTAACCCAACTGCTGCGGACCTCGACCTTTGTTCCCGAACTTCAGCATGACGTCACCGATGGGACTAAGTACAAACACTTGGTACGCGATAGTGACGATGATGCGTCCCCAACGGTCTACAGCGACACCTCTTGTAGTTTCATAGTTCTCTGCAGCCCCTGTCACCTGGAGGACGCGTGACATCCTCCCCTGTTTGTCCAGAACGTGAATCTTGTGTCCGTCTCCTGTCACCAACAGCTCACCGTTTGTCAGTGCCGCCACACAATAAGGCTCGAACCCCAGATCAATCTTCTTTTTAAAGGAGCCATCTTTGTCCAGGAACTGCAGACGTGAGTTGCAACAATCAGTCACGACAATGTCACCCTCTGCGGTGACAGTGAGCGAGTTCGGATGGTTAAACTGTCCATCTCCACTGCCCTTCTTACCTCCAACAGTTTTGACGTGTTCTAGACTCACGCCGCCATTACCGATCGCCACGTTCGGTCGCACCTGCGGAGTCGGTGGGATCAAAGGTGTTCTCACCTGGTTTATCCCACCTACAAGTTTAGCGACTTCCTGCTCTAGTTCGCCAGCTGGTGGGTCAAAGGTCAAGTTCACGAAGTTCATGGTCAGTTCAGCCCTCTCGGCGTTTTTGTCCTCCGCGGCTCGGTCCAACCGTCCGGTCAGTTCTCCGGCCACCGAGATGACCTCCGCCGGGCTGCCGTACTCCAACACGTTGTCCGCGAACTGGACACAGCTCCTGGCCGAGGCCAGGTCCATCTCAGCTGCCTCCATGGCGGCGTCCATCTGTTTCTCCCGAGCAGCATTCATGGCGTGAAGCTGGCCGATTCTGTCGTCTCCCGCCTTCTCCGCGGCCTCGATGATCGCCTTGACTTGTTTCCTGACCTGTTCTTCTGTACGCCGTACCTCTGAAGGCCACTCGTCCCTCACTGACTGCAACTGTTGTCTCCACGTCTCATGCAGGCCTACTGTGTTCCTGATTGTCACCACTTTTGCCTTGATCTTTGCCCCCTCCCTCTCTGCCGCCTTCTCTATCTCCACATACTGGTGCTCTTTGTGCGCCGTGACCACGCAGTGCAGACAGATGACCCGCTGGCAGGTGTCACAGTAGAACTTGTTCAGTTCGCGGTGATCCTCGCACTTGGAGGTCTTCCTTGCCCGGAGCTCGGCGGCAACTTGGCCGGATTGCAGGTCTTGAACCGTTACAAGTTTGTGGGACCGGTTCCCTTTGAAGCGACGGTGCATGTCGTCACACGTGTGACACAGGTAGTCGGTGCACTCCACGCAGTAAAACTGAGCCGAGTTGCCGGCCTCACAGACCGTACAGGGGACTCCATCCTCCCGCGCCTCGGACGTTTTTCCTGCTGGCTGTTGTTGCAGAATGTCGCGCAGTTTGCCGACGAGGAAGTTGGACTTCAGCCCCTGGACGCCATTCTGGGGGAGGGGCACGTCCTGTCGGCATGTCGGACACTCCAGTTTCCCTACCGGCTCTGCGGCCAGGAGCTTCTCCAAACACGGCTGGCAGAAGGTGTGAAGACACGGCAGCATCTTAGGCTGCTTGAAGTCCTCCAAACAGACCTGGCAGACGAGAAATTCGTCGGCAATGTCGCTGACTGCGTTGGACGCCATCTTTACCCAGGGACGTGTTTGTACACTCTGGCACACTTACTAAAAAGTTCGAGAGGGGCATCGGTAATATTTGTGATCGGTTTATTGACTTTTACCTCGTGACGGTTTGTGGTAGCCTCCTTCGCAGTCTTGTTGGGCGTGGGGGTATTTTTTTTCTGTGAGCGACGCGAGTAATATGCGGCCGCGAGGGACGATTTGCTCCAACAGCGAATCCTTCTCTCGGCGGCAAAAAAACTCCCTCGGCAGCAAATCGTCCCTCGAGGCCGCATATTACTCTCGTCGCTCACAGAAAAAAATAACGCCGACAAGACTGCGAAGGAGGCTAGTGTGTGGTGGGTGGTTCCATTTGTGTTTTTGGGAGGGGGTAGCAGACGTGACGTCATATGATAATCAGCACAAAGCAGCCATAATACTGAGGGATAAACTGCCGGACGCGGAATTTTTTATTGCATTTTCAAGAAAGTATTACAGTTGTAGGAATACAAATAAAGTATACGTGGTATACAAGACAAACAAACTAAACAGTAATTAAAAACAGTTTACAACCGGTTTCCTAATTACGAGATAATCGTGTAGTGTTCCCCATTTTCCCATATGTTTCTTTACTTTTTGACAATTCTGTTCAATAATAAACTCAATCTTACAATAAGTACTAACGAATTAACAAAACCTTTTAAGGCAACTACTTTGGAATCTCTATTTCTGAAAATATCCATTTTTTATAGTAGAATAACTGTATTAAAATAGATGCCAATTTGTTTGTCATGTCGCTGTTTGCGTTGGGCGCCGTTCTTATCAAGTATTGATACGGACTTTTGGACTTTAAGCTTTAAATGGGGCCACAGCAAAAACCTTTGAGCGATTTATCATTGATGTTTACGTATGTAATGTCGCCTTAGGACGTTCCATTCTAGATGTTCCTATACTTGTTTGGAAAACATGAGTTATATGTCTCGTAGGATAAACAAACGAAACACCACAAGGTATTGAAAAACGCTGCTGGGGGGCCTAAAGCAATTCTTTATCGAGCAACATTTTTCAACCTCAACGTTTACGTTAGATTTATATTCAATACTAGTATGTAAAGGTTTGAAATTGATAACCTACATAAATTTAAATGGTGATGCAAATATATGAAAGGGCTTACAATGGTATCGACCCCTTTACCTCTTGATGTGATAAATTCGGAGTTCTTCGGCACTGCACTTAAACAAAAATAAAATATTGTCTCCTTCTGTTCTCAAGTTCTTTTTTGTTTAGAAACAGACCTGTATTATAAGTTCGTGGGGATAGGGAGGCGGGGTGGGGGTGCTATTTAGCGCTGGCTATCATACTACAGGCTATATTACTGGCTAATAGTAGTATAATGTTAAAAAGTTAAAGTTCAGTAGAATTTGTAGGAAATTATTTTTATGTCGCGTTGTATAAATACACGAAACACCGCAATGATGAAAAACTGACTAAATGGTGCCTACAACAACTCTTTATTGAAAAGCATTTAAAGTTTTAAAAAATTACATTTCAACCTTATCAAAGTCCACTTTACATAATGGTAGAGTCAAAATATGGGGAGTTCAAATTGCATACATTTTTGAACATAATTGATGATACAAATATACAAGTACACCGACAACAGTCCAACAGATATGATGTAAGTAAAAGTAAAGATCCAACAAGCAATCGTCCGTAGGCTTCAAAGATTCCACTTGAAGTGTAGAATTACATTGTATTGTAACGCCACTAATGGATTAATGGCTTTATGTAAATACATGTATATAGCAATGTGAAGGCTTTAACATTTGTAATGGACATGGAAAATCTCAAAGAATCGGGACTACATTGAGAAAAAGATTCCACTTACATGGAATAGAAGGAGTTAGGAAGTTGTTAATACTATTAGAAAGTTTTCATTTTACTTGGAAAAACTTTATAGAATCACCATATTCAGAAACGACAAATTGTCGGTCGTAAGTCAGCGTCAGTCCCAGTGGCCCGTACAGTTTCTTCTCTGTCAGCACGTGCCTGATAATCGCGCCGTCCCGACTGAACAGGGAAACGCGACGGTTCCAAAAGTCAGCCACGATGATGTTGTCCTCGCTGTCCGTGATGACACAGTAGGGGCGAATCAACTGACTAGCTCTTAAATAGAAGGAGTTTGGAAGCTGCTTTTTTATTTTACATTGAAAAACTTGACATTATTAGAAAAACATTCAGAAACGACCAAATGTCCATCGTGAGTCAGAGTCAGTCCCATTGGATATGTCAGTCCGTGTTCCTGCTGCGTCAGCACGTGCCTGATAAACGCGCCGTCCCGACTGAACAGGGAAACGCGATGGTTGCAACAGTCGGCCACGATGATGTTGTCCTCGCTGTCCGTGATGACACATTTGGGGCCGTTCAGCTGACCAGGTCCCGTACCACGTGACCCGCACGTGAAGAGATGACGACCGGCGGAGACAAATATTTTCAAGTTGTGGTTGTTCCAGTCACTGACGATGATCTGGTTGCTGCTGTTGACGGTCACGTGGAGGACGGAACCCAACTGCTGCGGACCTTGACCTTTGTCCCCGAACTTCAGCATGACGTCACCGCTGGGACTGAGAACGAAAACTTGGTGCAGGATAGTGACGATGATGCGTCCCGAACTGTCAACAGCTATGCCTCTCGTAATTCCATCTTTTTCTACGGCTCCTGTCACCTGGATGACGCGTGACTTCCTGCCCAGTTTGTCCAGAACGTGAATCTTGTGTCCGTCTCCTGTCACCAACAGCTCGCCGTTTGTCAGTGCCGCCACGCACCAAGGCGCGAACCCCAGATCGACCTTCTTCTTGAAGCAGCCATTTTTGTCCAGAAACTGCAGGCGTGAGTTGTGATAATCAGTCACGACAATGTCTCCCTCTGCGGTGACAGCGAGCGATGTCGGAACGTTAAACTGTCCATCTCCACTCCCCTTCTCCCCAACAGTTTTGACGTGTTCTAGGCTCACGCCGACACCACCGATCGCCACGTTTGGTCGCACCTGCGTAGTTTCAGGGTGGCTAATGATTGTAGTCACCTGGTCTTCGTCCGTGGTAAATTGGCCGGATTGCAGGTCTTGAACCGTTACAACTCTGTGGGACTTGGTGGATTTGAACCGATGGTGGGTCTTGTTACAGGTCTGACACAGGTAGTCGGTACACTCCACGCAGTAAAACTGGGCCAAGTTGCCGGCCTCACAGACCGTACAGGGGACTCCATCCTCCAGCGCCTCGGACGTTTTTCCTGCAGGCTGTTGTTGCAGAATGTCGCGCAGTTTGCCGACCAGGAAGTTGGACTTCAGCCCCCGGACGCCATTCTGGGGGAGGGGCACGTTCTGTCGGCATGTCGGACAGTCCAGTTTCCCTACCGGCTCTGCGGCCAGGAGCTTCTCCAAACACGGCTGGCAGAAGGTGTGAAGACACGGCAGCATCTTAGGCTGCCTGAAGTCCTCCAAACAGACCTGGCAGACGAGAAATTCGTCGGCAATGTCGCTGACTACGTTGGATGCCATTTTCAAAAACAAGTCTCCGCACCCACTGAAACTGGAAGGACAAGATACCAAAAATGCGTCACCTATCTACGTCATATTAGGAGGTTCCATTTTCTGTGATCGGAGGGGCGCAAATTTTTTTTTGTTATGAAACGCAGATCGAGCATGCAAGGTTTGACAATTCTGGAGTAATTGCCGCCCTCTGAGACCAACACGCCACCCTTACTAAGTATATCCTAGTCAAGCTGGCAGCACACAACAGGACATACATTTTCCTGAGTGCGTCGGACTCCATTTTCAAAGTCTCCGCACCCACTAAACTGGAAGGACAAGATACCAAAGTGCTTACGTGACATGCTGACGTCGGATTAGATTGTTCCATTTGTGGATATGGGGGGCGCGCAGACGGGTTTCTCATAAAACACGAAAGGAAACAACATGCAAGGTTGTGAGCAGGGCAGTGTAGGAGTAACTGTCGCCCTTTAAGAGCAGCACGGCCGGAATACGGCCGGTGTCGTCTTGATCACTGCTCTTTTCTTATGTATGAATCGGCCGATTACGGATGTTCGCAGGCCAGCGAACCTCTACCAATGAGACAGGGCTGATTTTTTAGGCGAAAGATATCCTTGTCTATGACGACGTTAAAATTCTTAGAACTTCTAGACAGGTATTCAGTCTATCGTGGTCTGAGCGGACTCCCTTTGGAGCCCCCCCCCGGCTTAGTTCAACTAGTCTCCCCATTTGTGCACCGTAGGCGTTTTGCACGTCAGCACTAATTAGTTGTGGCCTGTTTGAACTCTTGCCGTGCAAACTCCTACAGCCAGAACATAGGGGCTATAGGCATCACTAAGGTATTAAGATTCTTATAACTTCAAGACTGGTATCCAGCCTATCGTGGTCTGTGTGGACTCCCTTTGGAGCCCTAGTAGGGCCTTGTAGGCCCCCCCCCCGCTTAGTTGAACTAGTCGCCCTTTAGTGGTTTTATGCCCTGTAGGCGTTTTGCACGGCATCACTAATTAGTTGTGGCCTATTTGAACTCTTGCCGTGCAAACTCCTGCGGGTGTCGAGCTGAGCCAGACGGCGAAGACGTACGTCCTGACGCCGACACCCACAAAGATAATCTCCAAGCAGATGTTTAGGTGGCTAATGGATACAGTCTGGCCAATGGATACTGCCTGGCCAATTTGATACTCTCTTTTACGCCACCTAAACATCTGCTTGGAGATTACACAAAGAAAGCCAGCCCAAACCATGATTGACTTGACTCCAGGCTAGCGAGCTTCTGGTTATCAACAATTTGGGCCGAAGGTCGTGAACAGTATAACGGCAGCTAGGTTATCTAGCCTCTCCTGGGTGCCAGACTGTTTCTAGGGCCTACACATGCAGACCAGTTCCTCGGCTCCAGGGCCAACATGCTAGCCTGGGTGCCAGACTGTTTCCACCCGGCCTACACAGATCAGTTCCTCGGCTCCAGGGTGAACATTCTAGCCTGGGTACCAGACTGTTTCCAGGGCCTACACAGACCAGTTCCTCGGCTCCAGGGCCAACATGCTAGCCTGGGTTCCAGACTGTTTCTAGGGACTACACAGACCAGTTCCTCGGCTCCAGGGTCAACATGCTAGCCTGGGTACCAGACTGTTTCCAGGGCCTACACAGACCAGTTCCTAGGGCCAACATGGTAGCCTGGGTGCCAGACTGTTTCCAGGGCCTGCACAGACCAGTTCCTCGGCTCCAGGGCCAACATGCCCCGAAGGAAATTATACCACTGCCCTCTCAGTTTGCTCAGTTATACCCTGGGCCACGCTGGCTAAATAGTGGCCTATAATGTACCATGGGTATGGCATCCAGGCTTCTCCTTAGGCCTGAGAGGAAATTCCCCTGGCCACTGTGAGCATTCCAGCTCGCTGGACAGTCAGTCTTCGCCAATGATGTGGTCTGCCTGGGACTGACTGTAGCTCGCAATTTAGTTCAGTCCTCTTTATTAGAATTAAGGAGAACAGTATGGAGTATCCATTGACACCGACGGTTTGTATGATGTGTCAGCCCTGGATTTCTTCTGGGTGGGTCGGGGGTGGGGGGCGTTAATTTTATTGGGGTGGTTGCTATTGGGTGTGGCTTGTCTAGTAACTAGTAACAGTCCTCGTTCCAAAGCTACTGGCCCTCCGTTAAGCATTTTCAAACATTAGAAGTTCCTTGGATAAATATTCTGTCGCCTAGAATAGTTATAAGATACACAGGAAAAAACACAATTAGGAATGAAGACTCAAAGAGTGCCTTAAACAACCCTTTATTCACCAACATTAGAAAACAACATTTTCCAGCCTCATCAAAGTTTACAGTTTACTTGTAATTAAAAGCCTACTGCAAAAGTTTACCTGTAATTGAACAGTCAAAATGCAGTGGCTCAAACCTGCAAACTTATTTTTAAAAAATCATAATACATATATAAGAAATAGTGTACACCGGGAGCAACCTATTTCACCTTTATTTACTAAATAATATATTGATGGAGTATACAGTGTGTGTAGACAAAACTGTAAGGTACAGTACTATTGCTGATGATAGAAAACTAACTTTCTGAATTCATAATATTATGTATCGGAACTAGTACATGCATTGTAAAACAAATGTAGGAAATTGTGACCATTTATCTCACTTAACATGGAAAAACTTGAAATCAGCACTCCTATAAGCACATTCACTTCGAGAAAATTTGTTTCGTAAAATTTATACAAAATCACCTGACATCATATGGGAAAGAGATGAAAATAGAATTAAGTGGCTCTTTAACGAGGGTGTATCTGACCTAGCAACTTTCATTTATCGAGCGTGGGGGAAAAGAAGAAAATACCTGTATTCATAACACATCAACAGTTCTCACTTTTTGTTACTTCTGCACGTTTTGTTTTCTCTTATTATGTTTGATTTACCTTATGTACTTGTATTCATTTTGTGAACTCTTGGTTCATTATGTACAGATTTGTTTATTTGAATTTACGGTATGTTATGAGTTCACTTATTTGTTCACCATTATTGTATATAGCCTACCTTTATTTGCGTGCATATTTTGTTTGGATTCTGTTATCTGTTCCTTTGATCGTCTTTTGTCTATGTATAACTTACTGAATCGGTGTCGTATAAGCCCACACGGGCTGGGCGCGGGATAGCGCACGACACGAAAATAAAGTATCATTCATTCATTCATTCATTCATTCATTCATTCATTCATTCATTCATTCAGTAACGACCAAATGTCCGTCGTGAGTCAGCGCCAGTCCCATTGGCGGGTCCAGTCCGTGTTCCTGCCGTGTCAGCACGTGCCTGATAAACGCGCCGTCCCGACTGAACAGGGAAACCTTATCAAAGTTTACTTTACGTAATGGTAGAGTCAAATATGGTGAGTTCAAATTGCATACATTTTTTAAACATAATTGATGATACAAATATATAAGTGCACCGACAACAGTCCAACAGATATGATGTACAAAAAAGTAAAGATCCAACTAGCAATCGTCCGTAGGCTTCAAATATTCCACTTGAAGTGTAGAATTCAATTGTATCCTAACGGCACACATGGATCAATGGCTTTATGTCAATATATGTATATACCAATGTGAAGGCTTTAACATTTGTAATGGACATGAAAAAATTACATTGAGAAACAAACAATTATCCGTCATGAGTTCCAAGTACAATTCCACTTACATGGAATAGAGGGAGTTAGGAAGTTGTTAATACTATTAGAAAGTTTTCATTTTACTTGGAAAAACGTGATATAATTACCAGCACCAGAAACGACCAAATGTCCGCCGTGAGTCAGAGTCAGTCCAATTGGCGAGTACAGTCCGTGTTTCTCCCGTGTCAGCAAGTGCCTGATCAACGCGCCGTCCCGACTGAACAGGGAAACGCGATTGTTGATAAGGTCGGCCACGATGATGTTGTCCTCGCTGTCCGTGATGACACATGCTGGCAAGACCAGCTGACCAGGTCCCGAGCCACGTGACCCGCGCGTGAAGAGATGGCGACCGGCGGAGTCAAATATCTTCAAGTTGTGGTTCCAATAGTCACTGACGATGATCTGGTTGCTGCTGTTGACGGTCACACGGAGGGAGGGAACCCAACTGCTGACCTTGACCTTTGTCCCCGAACTTCAGCATGACGTCACCGCTGGGACTGAGTACAAACACTTGGTACCCGATAGTGACGATGATGCGTCCCGAACCGTTAACAGCGATGCCTTCTGTAGAATCACCTGTCTCTGTGCAGGCAGCCCCTGTCACCTGGATGACGCGTGACTTCCTCCCCTGTTTGTCCAGAACGTGAATCTTGTGTCCGTCTCCTGTCACCAACAGCTCGCCGTTTGTCAGTGCCGCCACGCACAGAGGCCTGAACCCCAGACCGACCTTCTTCTTGAAGCAGCCATCTTTGTCCAGAAACTGCAGCCGTGAGTTGTGATAATCAGTCACGACAATGTCTCCCTCTGCGGTGACAGCGAGCGAGGTCGTATAGTTAAACTCTCCATCTCCACTGCCCCCCTCCCCAACAGTTTTGACGTGTTCTAGACTCACGTCGCCATTACCCATCGCCACGTTCGGTCGCACCTGCGGAGTCGGTGGGATCAAAGGCGTTCTCACCTGGTTTATCCCACCTACAAGTTTAGCGACTTCCTGCTCCAGTCCGCCAGCTGGAGGGTCAAAGGTCAAGTTCACAAAGTTCATGGTCAGTTCAGCCCTCTCGGCGTTTTTGTCCTCCGCGGTTCGGTCCAACCGTCCGGTCAGTTCTCCGGCCACCGAGATGACCTCCGCCGGGCTGCCGTACTCCAACACGTTGTCCGCGAACTGGACACAGCTCCTGGCTGAGGCCAGGTCCATCTCAGCTGCCTCCATGGCGGCGTCCATCTGTTTCTCCCGAGCAGCATTCATGGCGCGAAGCTGGCCGATTCTGTTGTCTCCAGCCTTTCTCGCGGCCTTAATGATCGCCTTGACTTGTTTTCTGACCTGTTCTTCTGTACGCCGTACCTCTGAAGGCCACCTGTCCCTCACTGACTGCAACTGTTGTCTCCACGTCTCATGCAGACCTATTGTGTTCTTGGCTGTCGCCACTTTTGCCTTGATCTTTGCTCCCTCCCTCTCTGCCGCCTTCTCTATCTCCACATACTGGTGCTCTTTGTGCGCCGTGACCACGCAGTGCAGACAGATGACCCGCTGGCAGGTGTCACAGTAGAACTTGTTCAGTTCGCTGTGATCCTCACACTTGGAGGTCTCCCTTGCCCGGAGCTCGGCGGCAGCTTGGCCGGATTGCAGGTCTTGAACCGTTACAACTCTGTGGGATTTGGTGGCCTTGAAGCGACGGTGCATATCGTTACACGTCTGGCACAGGTAGTCGGCACACTCCACGCAGTAAAACTGAGCCGAGTTGCCGGCCTCACAGACCGTACAGGGGACTCCATCCTCCCGCGCCTCGGACGTTTTTCCTGCCGGCTGTTGTTGCAGAATGTCGCGCAGTTTGCCGACGAGGAAGTTGGACTTCAGCCCCTGGACGCCATTCTGGGGGAGGGGCACGTCCTGTCGGCACGTCGGGCAGTCCAGTCTCCCTACCGGCTCTGCGGCCAGGACCTTCTCCAAACACGGCTGGCAGAAGGTGTGAAGACACGGCAGCATCTTAGGCTGCTTGAAGTCCTCTAAACAGACCTGGCAGACGAGAAATTCGTCGGCAATGTCGCTGAATGCGTTGGACGCCATCTTTACCCGGGGACGTGTTTGTACACTCTGGCACACTTACTGAAACGTCGAGAGGGGCATCGGTAATATTTGTGATCGCTTCATTGACTTTTACCTCGTGACGGTGTGTGGTAGCCTCCTTCGTAGTCTTGTTGGGCGTGGGCGTAATTTTTTCTGTGAGCGACGCGAGTAATATGCGGCCGCGAGGGACGATTTGCTCCAACAACAGCGAATCCTTGTCTCGGCGGCAACAACTCCCTCGGCAGCAAATCGTCCCTCGAGGCCGCATATTACTCTCGTCGCTCACAGAAAAAAATTACGCCGACAAGACTGCGAAGGAGGCTAGTGTGTGGTGGGTGGTTCCATTTGTGTTTTTGGGAGGGGTAGCAGACGTGACGACATACGGTAATCAGCACAAGGCAGCCATAATACTGAGGGATAAACTGCCGGACGCGGAATTTTTTTATTGCATTTTCAAGAAAGTATTACAGTTGTAGGATACAAAAAAGTATATGTGGTATACAAGACAAAAAACTAAATAGTAATCCAAAATAGTTTACAAACGGTTTCCTAATTACGAGATAATCGTGTAGTGTTCCCCATTTTCCCATATGTTTCTTTACTTTTTGACAAGTCTGTGCAATAATAAACTCAATCTTACAATAAGTACTAACGAATTGTACAAAACCACTTAAGGCAACTACTTCGGAATCTCTATTTCTGAAAATATACATTTTTGCTAGTAGAATAGCTGTATTAACAATAGATGCCAATTTGTTTGTCATGTCGCTGTTTGCGTTGGGCGCCGTTCTTATCAAGTATTGATACGGACTTTTGGACTCTCACTTGAAGCTTTAAATGGTCTAGCCGTGCGCTATACAGAGCATAGGGGTTTGGTGCCCATATGTCCATTTCCGTAGCCCTTGGGCGACACACAATTGTGCAGGGCACTACAGCAGGGGGCTAGTCCGCTGGTAGTGCTGTGTGTTTGACCTTCCCACACTCTTTCTCATATGTGCTGAGTGCTAAGCAGAGAAAGAAGTGTGTACCATTGTATGACCCGGCCGGGGTTTGAACTCCCGGTTACAAAACGAGCACTCTACCAACTGAGCTATTGCACCGGTATGGGGCCACAGTAAAAGGCTTTGAGCGATCTATCATTGATGTTTACGTATGTAATGTCGCCAAGGAACGTTAACTGGCCTGTGTGTAGGGCCTGGAAACAGTGTGGTGTCCAGCCTAGAGAGGCTGGGTAAGCCGGCGTCATAGTACCTTCGGCCGAAATAACTGTATTGAACCCCAACGGTGGCTAGCCTTGTGTCCAGTCTACCGTGTTTGGTCGGGCTCTCGTCGTGTGCGTCAGGAGCTCTCGGCCGTCCGACTTAGCTTGACACCGGTAGCTAGGAGTTTTTTTCCCAACATTTCATGACCAAACATGGCGAACTTATTTTATGCCGGCACAAACGCAGAGGACGAATACAGGACAAGACAATCCTCATTTTCACTTTTCACCCCACTATTTCACTTGAGCCTAGTGGGGAAAGTCGTGTAAAGTGCCTTTCCCAAGGGCACAAGATCGGTGGCATGTCAGGACTCCAACCTGGGGCCTCTTAATTCCGAGTCACACACGACCACACCCCACCGGTAGGAGTTTGCACGGCAAGAGTTCAAATAGGCCACAACTAATTAGTCCTGCCATGCAAAACGTCTACGGGGCACAAAACCCCTACTAGTACACGCGACTAGAGTTGAACAAAGCGGGGGGACCTACCAGGGCTCCACAGACCACGATAGACTGGATACCAGTCTAGAAGTTCTAGGAATTTTAACGTCATCATAGACAAGGATATCTTTCGCCTGTAAAAATTAAACCTTGTCACATTGGGAGAGGTTCGTTGATCTGCGAACATCCGTAATCGGCCGATTCATACATAAGAAAAGAGCAGTGATCAAGACGACACCGGCCGTATTCCGGCCAAAAATGTCCATTTGAGCTGGCAGAGTCGTAGAGGAATTTATTTTCCTGGCGTGCTGCTCTTATAGGACGGCAGTTACTCCTACACTGCCCTGCTCACAACCTTGCATGTTGTTTCGACTTGAACGTTTTATAAGAAACACGTTTGCGCCTCCCCCCCCCCACACCACAAATGGAACAATCTAATCCGACGTCATCATGTCACGTACTACTAAGTACGCACTTTGGTATCTTGTCCTTCCAGTTTTATAATTAGTGGGTCCGGAGATTTTGAAAATGGAGTCCGACGCACTCAGGAAAATGTATGCCCTGTTGTGTGCTGCCAGCTTGACTAGGATATACTTAGTAAGGGTGGCGTGTTGGTCTCGAAGGGCGGCAATTACTGTAGAGGTGTCTCGCTCAAACCTTCCATGCTCGATCTGAGCGTTTCATAAAAAAGAAGTTTGCGCCCCTCCGAGCACAGAAAATGGAACCGCCTAATATGACGTAAATAGGTGACGCATGTTGGTATCTTGTCCTTCCAGTTTTAGTGAGTGCAGGGACTTGTTTTTGAAAATGGCATCCAACGCTTTCAGCGACATTGCCGACGAATTTCTCGTCTGCCAGGTCTGTTTGGAGGACTTCAGGCAGCCTAAGATGCTGCCGTGTCTTCACACCTTCTGCCAGCCGTGTTTGGAGAAGCTCCTGGCCGCAGAGCCGGTAGGGAAACTGGACTGTCCGACATGCCGACAGGACGTGCCCCTCCCCCAGAATGGCGTCCAGGGACTGAAGTCCAACTTCCTCGTCGGCAAACTGCGCGACATTCTGCAACAACAGCCGACAGGAAAAACGTCCGAGGCGCGGGAGGATGGAGTCCCCTGTACGGTCTGTGAGGCCGGCAACTCGGCCCAGTTTTACTGCGTGGAGTGTACCGACTACCTGTGCCAGACGTGTGACGACATGCACCAACGGTTCAAAGGGAACCGGTCCCACAAATTTGTAACGGTTCAAGACCTGCAATCCGGCCAAGCTGCCGCCGAGCTCCGGGCATGGGAGACCTCCAAGTGCGAGGATCACCGCGAACTGAACAAGTTCTACTGTGACACCTGCCAGCGGGTCATCTGTCTGCACTGCGTGGTCACGGCGCACAAAGAGCACCAGTATGTGGAGATAGAGAAGGCGGCAGAGAGGGAGGGGGCAAAGATCAAGGCAAAAGTGGCGACAGTCAAGAACACAATAGGTCAGCATGAGACGTGGGGACAACAGTTGCAGTCAGTGAGGGACGAGTGGCCTTCAGAGGTACGGCGTACAGAAGAACAGGTCAGGAAACAAGTCAAGGCGATCATCGAGGCCGCGGAGAAGGCGGGAGACGACAGGATCGGCCAGCTTCGGGCCATGAACGCTGCTCGGGAGAAACAGATGGACGCCGCCATGGAGGCAGCTGAGATGGACCTGGCCTCGGCCAGGAGCTGTGTCCAGTTCGCGGACAACGTGTTGGAGTACGGCAGCCCGGCGGAGGTCATCTCGGTGGCCGGAGAACTGACCGGACGGTTGGACCGAACCGCGGAGGACAAAAGCGTCGAGAGGGCTGAACTGGCCATGAACTTTGTGAAGTTGCCCTTTGCCCCACCAGCTGGCGGACTGGAGCAGGAAGTCGCTAAACTTGTAGGTGGGATAAACCAGGTGAGAACACCTTTGATCCCACCGACTCCACAGGTGCGACTGAACGTGGCGATCGGTAATGGCGACGTGAGTCTGGAACACGTCAAAACTGTTGGGAAGGGGGGCAGTGGAGATGGACAGTTTAACGTTCCGTCCTCGCTCGCTGTCACCGCAGAGGGAGACATTGTCGTGACTGATTATGGCAACTCACGCCTGCAGTTTCTGGACAAAGACGGCTGCTTCAAGAAGAAGGTCGATCTGGGGTTCATGCCTGAGTGCGTGGCGGCACTGACAAACGGCGAGCTGTTGGTGACAGGAGACGGACACAAGATTCACGTTCTGGACAAACAGGGGAGGAAGTCACGCGTCATCCAGGTGACAGGGGCTGCAGAGACAGATGACACTACATACGGCATCGCTGTTGACGGTTCGGGACGCATCATCGTCACTATCGGGCACCAAGTTTTTGTACTCAGTCCCTGCGGTGACGTCATGCTGAAGATTGGGGACAAAGGTCAAGGTCAGCAGCAGTTGGGTTCCTTCCTCCGCGTGACCGTCAACAGCAGCAACCAGATCATCGTCAGTGACTATCAAAACGACAACTTGAAGATATTTGACTCCGCCGGTCGTCATCTCTTCACGTGCGGGTCACGTGGCTCGGGACCAGGTCAGCTGAACGGACCCGGCTGTGTCATCACGGACAGCGAGGACAACATCATCGTGGCTGAGGGGTGCAACCATCGCGTTTCCCTGTTCAGTCGGGACGGCGCGTTTATCAGGCACGTGCTGACAGGGCAAGAACACGGACTGTGCGAGCCAAGAGGACTGACGCTAACTCATGACCGACAATTGATCGTTACCGAATATGGTTATTTGAAGTTTTTCCAAGTAAAATGAAAACTTTCTATTAACAACTTGCTAACTCCTATTGTAAGTGCTATTGTACCTTAAATGTGTCAATATGCAATATTGATTAAGTTAATATTGATCTATCAATCATATTCGTATTTGGTGAAGCCCTGCTCTCTGAATATACACCTTAAGCAAATGTTTGTGAGGTTAAAATGTTTTTATGTGAATAAAGGGTTGTTTAGGACACTCGTGTGGTGTTTTTTTTCGTTATTGTGTTCTTTATTTGTTCTGTGCGATAGAATAATTCAGACTTTGTTCTACTTAACTGCAATCCAGCGTTTCAACAACATGTACGAATAGCCAGGAACTTTTTTTTCTTTATTAAAACATTTAGAAGCAAAGTGGACAGGATGACGACACACTCAAGCCGAAGCTTATGTTCATGTCGCCATCTGACATTACAAAAATACAGAAGCAAATGCAAATTAAAACAGACATGCAAAGCATAATAATAACAGAATAGAATAAATAGGGTTACAGTAACTTGCCAGTAACTTGCCAGAAGATGGTAACTAGGCAGGCCCAGCCCGATGGAAACACATCCCCAAGGGGCAAAAGTTGAAATTGGTCTGTTTATAAACAAGAATAGAGACTTCAGAGACGAGAAGACTTTAAACGCATAGAATCTATCACATCATGTCAACCGTTGGTGTCACTGCTGTTGTTCTTGTCGTTACTGTTGTTGTTCTTGTCGTTACTGTTGTTGTTCCTGTCGTTACTGTTGTTGTTCTTGTCGTTACTGTTGTTGTTCTTGTCGTTACTGCTGTTGTTCCTGTCGTTACTGCTGTTGTTCCTGTCGTTACTGCTGTTGTCCTTGTCGTTACTGCTGCTGTTCCTGTCGTTACTGTTGTTGTTCCTGTCGTTACTGCTGCTGTTCCTGTCGTTACTGTTGTTGTTCCTGTCGTTACTGCTGTTGTTCTTGTCGTTACTGCTGTTGTTCTTGTCGTTACTGCTGTTGCTGTTCCTGTCGTTACTGCTGTTGTTCTTGTCGTTACTGCTGTTGTTCTTGTCGTTACTGCTGTTGTTCTTGTCGTTACTGCTGCTGTTCTTGTCGTTACTGCTGTTGTTCTTGTCGTTACTGCTGTTGTTTTTAGTAGATTGTTGTGCACTAGTAGGTAATGGAAACAGTCTGACACCCAGGCCGGTTGAGCCGGCGTCATACTGTTGAGGACCTTCGGCCGAAACAACTGTATTTAACGCCAACGGTCGCTAGCCTAGCCTTTGTTTTAAAATCATTTTGCATACTTCGTATTTCATGCAACCGCTTTTCATTGAATATTTCTTTATTTCTGTACATGTACGCAGGTTATCTTGAGTATCTACACCGGTATGTACAGTGATCTGAATCTCAAAGCAAATCTTTTTATATTATATTAATAGCAGCTGCAATATATACAGTATCAAATTGGCAACACGGTATCAAATTGACCAAGCAGTACCCAATACGCCACATAAGGGTGCAAATGGTAACTCAGGTGGCCAATTTCATCGTCCCCAGCCCCCCAAACGTATCTGCTTGGAGATTACAGTGTATTCACCTTTCGAACTTTGAACTGATAGATGACGTGATGTTGACGCAAGCAGTAGGAAGTGAAACCGGTAAAAGACAGAAGGGTTTCGTGGCAGAAAGTCGCCATGTTGCGGGTGTGTGAGAAACTCCGTCATGCGGACGAGAAGGGCAGGAGGTACGGACTAGCCCGGGCGGAGACAGGCTACCTCCGTGCCCTGGTGGACGCCATGGCCGACACGGACAGGATGGCGGAAGTGGAGCTGCTCAAAACTCTGGGCGACGTGAACGTGGAGAAGGGAAGACTCGGGAAGGACGTGGGGAAGTTCAACACAGCCTTGGCGCTTTACATTGCTGCTATGGTGCGGTGTTACCATGAAGAACAGGCAGATGGTATAGAACACCGCTACCACTACACGGAGAGGCTTTTACAAGGGCTGTCGTCACCGGGTAAGGAACAGCCAACTGAAGACAAGGAGGCGACTACACCTGCAAAGGTAGCGGCAAAGTTTCAAGTCCTGGACAAGAGACGGGCTACCGGAGGTAAGACAGACTCTTTGCTGGTTGGATACGCACAGATGATGGTAGAGGCGATAGTAAACGACAACAGCATGTTAGAAACAGAAGCGATCAAGAGTCTGGGTGACGTGTACCTGAAAAGAGGAACAGAAACTGGAGACACTAGAAACTTGACCAGAGCTACTGCTCTGTACAACAGGGCACTGTCGCGGTGTCACAACGTTTATGGAACAGTTGTCATTGTTCACCGCTTACTGCACACCGCAAAAATCAGACAAGACATCACCACAACAAGACGCAAGGTGAGGGATTCTATTTTTACTTGAGCATGACGAACTCGCCATGCTGACTAGACTTCCGGGTTTCGACTTCTGGGTTTGTTTATCTCCCGTCATGCATTTCGCGTCGCTTTTCGCAAAACATCTTATAGTGTCGCCTGAGGTCAGGAGTAATACCAACCTCTTGATTTATTCACTTCATTGCTTAATTCCCTAAACAAAATTATGGGTTGACCTGTACTGGATTATTAAGAACAACAATGTATTTTCTGTTGGTGGGCAATGTGTACATCTGGAATGTGTCATACTTCGCCCTTGTACTTTGTTGTAGTTAAATGATGCTCAAATAAACAACTCGCCTGAGAAACGTTTGCCTTTACCTTGCTTGGGTCATGTTAGGTCATTCGTTTTTTTTCATTTATCGGTTTGGCTGTTCAACCCTCACAGCCAGGACAGCCCAACTAGCCAGTGGCTATTACAAAAGCTTACCCTGCTGACAAGACATGACAAAACATTAGCCTCTACCAGGCACCGCGGATCGCTGGGAAAATAGTACCGTGGGTCGCGAATTGGATCTTCTATGGCCCGGGATCTTCTGTGGTATACTATCCCTTTTATATTTCGGCCAATTTCTACTATTTTTCCATCAATTTGCGGCGCCTGGTAGAGGCTAACAAAACATTACAGCAACATATAAGGTGGCTTAACAATCAATGTCAGGTCGCTTACCTTCGACCGATGAAGTTCTAAGGTCATTTGTGGATTACAGTACCAGCTGTTTACCATATAGATTTCCTACCGGTTCTCGCAGAGGGCAACACATACGCAAAGACAAGACGTGAGAGGACGGAGGGGCCACTTCTCTCCCATCTCAGCTGCGCCCTCTAGCGACGGAACCACCAGTCAAGTTGATGACATGTTAGTGCTTTCATATTTCCTTGTCTAATGTAATAAGTGCTGTTCCCAGTCCAAGTAAATATTAAATAGATGAATATACATGTAGGACCATTTTATATTTTGTATATAACTAATTAAAGTAAGTACAAGTACAAGTAAGTAAGTAAGTATAGAAATGTGGCATATTATGAAACCTGTACAATGTTTGGTATAGAAACGCTAACAATGAGTTAGGCAACGTTAGTAAATGGAAAGAAATGTACTAGTAGTATACACGCATCATTAAATGTTACTTTGTGTGACATCGGTATTGCGTCCTTCAGATTTATGTAACAATACTAATGGGTGCTTTGCATACTATTGCTTTTATAGTGCAGATATAACCTCTGTTAAACACGTTTGTTTCACATCAACGTTTCGTTGTTCAGATCCTACCGCAGGTACATCCAGACGGCAGACCGTGACTTGGGAAATGGAGACCTGGACGCAGCAGAGCAGAACCTAGCAGCCGCCCTGAAGCTGGTTCACGGTCTGTAATGTTATTCATTTTCTTTGTACGAACTTAAAAATCAAAGTTTGCAAACCCTGTGTTATTTGAACATTGCCCTCCGCTGGGATGCAAGTATGATCCTGCGAGCTTGCATTAATATAACTGTTGGTATCATTTTCTCCCCTACCTACAGATCGCAGTAAACCCAACAAGGCTAAAGAAGCCGACTGTCTGTGCAGGTTGGGTGACATCTACGTCGAGCGAGGCAAGCGGACAAGAGAAGTTAGGAAATTCACACAGGCGGCAGCTCTGTATAACGCCTCCATTGCCAGAACAGATGGAGACAAACAAAACATGGTAACGAAACTACAAGAAACAGAAAGGCAGTTTCTTATAAACACCTGTAACCTTGACTGTGAACCGTGTCCGTATAGCAGCGCGTTAGATCACAAAAAGGAACTGGACAACTCGCGCGCCCGTACTAAATCTCAGCTCGAAACAGTTCATCAGGAACACAACCCTTATCAGTATGATGAAGACGATTCAGTCGTGAAAGAAGTAGAGGTCAAACGAGCTGAAGCAATCAAGAACTTGTTCAAGAGCATCACAGCTGGAAGACGAGAGTTTATCCAAGTACTGACAGATGAATGCATCGCCAAACTCGGACGTCCTCCCTGTAAGTACGCTTTCATCGGGTTGGGGTCACAAGCAACAGAACTGGTGACGCCGTACTCCGACCTGGAGTTCGCCATTCTGATTGAGGAGGGGAAGGATGATGATGATACACAGAGGTATTTCATAAATCTCACACACTACTTACATCTAAAAGTCATCAACCTTGGGGAAACCATCCTCCCAGCCATGGCCATCACGTCACTCAACGACTTTCTCTCAGAGGACCCAGAGAAAGACTGGTTCTTTGACTCCGTCACACCTCGCGGCTTCGCCTTCGACGGCTTCATGCCATGGGCTTCTAAGACTCCGTTTGGAAGAGACGAAACCAAAAGCAAACCTCCCGTTAGTCTCATCCAGACTCCTGCCAAGTTGGCCGAATATCAGCATCTGCACATCGCCCTGGCGGAAGGCTATCACCTGTCAGACATCCTCAGGCGGGTGACCTACTTAACAGGAGACGAGTCTTTGGTAGATGAGTATGTGGACAGACTCAACAAAAGTGTAGACCGTTCTCCTGCTCTGTCACGGATGTCAGCAATGCGAATACTAATCAAAAGGAGAAGGACAACATTCGTGAAATAAAAAATGTTGTACCAACGGGACAGCTTCTGGATGTAAAGAAAGAAGTATATCGTTTTCCCAGCGTGGCCGTTGATATGTTGAGTATTTGCTGTGGTATCACGATCCCCAGTGTGTGGGAAATGATAGAAGAGTTACACAAGACACAGCGGATCAGTCACGAAGATGCCCACCACTTGACTGTACTGATCAGCATCTCAGCGGAGCTACGGTTAAGAACGTACATTGCCAACGGAGGACAGAAGGACAGACTGTCTCCTCTCTCGGAGATGAAAGACCAACTGGACAAATATGACGTAGATGACACTTTAGTTGAATCAGTTTTCTATATACCAGACTTAAAAATGCTTTTTAGGTACTACTATACCGCCATTCCATTAAAACGATGCATTGTGGATGCAGTTGCAGCGGAAAATCTGACGACGACGATATTCCCAACACGAATCTTTGACACCTCATCTCTAACAAAGGGCAGAATAACACTACAGCTGTTGCAGTTAGACGCATCCATGAGTCACTTGGAGGCAGCACTGAAAGATTCGGCTGGTGACGAGAAACAACAGTTCGAAATACTTTATGTATTAGGCAGTGCCTCTTACAGGCGCGGTGACTATGAGACTGCGAAGAGCTTCTACGAACGGGCACTTAGCACTGGAAATACCATTGATGGACCCACATTTGCCTCGTTACTTGGAAACATTGGGGTATGTTGGAGTGACCTTGGCGATCAGAGAAAAGCTATCAGTTATCACGAACAGTCACTGAAGACGTGGAAGGATATTTATGGTGCAACAACGCCGCATCCCGCCATTGCTTCATCACTAAACAACATTGGGGCATGTTGGGATAACCTTGGCGATCAGAAGAAAGCTATCAGTTATTACGAACAGTCACTAAAGATGAGGAAAGCTATCTATGGCGAAACAACGCCACATCCTGACATTGCATCATCACTAAACAACATTGGGACTTGTTGGAGGGACCTTGGCGATCAGCGGAAAGCTATCAGTTATCACGAACAGTCACTGAAGATGAGAAAAGCTATCTATGGTGAAACAACGCCACATCCTGACATTGCATCATCACTAAACAACATTGGGACTTGTTGGAGGGACCTTGGCGATCAGAGGAAAGCTATCAGGTATCACGAACAGTCACTGAAGATGAGAAAAGCTATCTATGGTAAAACAACGCCACATCCCAACATTGCTGGATCACTAAACAACATTGGGACATGTTGGAATGACCTTGGCGATCAGAGGAAAGCTATCAGTTATCACGAACAGTCACTGAAGATGAAAAAAACTATCTATGGCGAAACAACGCCGCATCCCGACATTGCTTTAACACTAAATAACATTGGGGGATGTTGGAGTGTCCTTGGCGATCAGAGAAGAGCTCTCATTTATTACGAACAGTCACTGACGATGATGAAAGCTATCTATGGCGAAACAACGCCACATCCCGACATTGCTTCATCACTAAACAACTTTGGGGCATGTTGGGATAACCTTGGCGATCAGAAGAGAGCTATCAGTTATTACGAACAGTCACTGAAGATGATGAAAGCTGTCTACGGCGAAACAACGCCACATCCCGACATTGCTGCATCACTAAATAACATTGGTAAATGTTGGGAAAAACTCGGTGACCACAGTAAAGCCATCAGGTATTACGAACAGTCACTGAAGATGATGAAAGTTATCTACAGGGACAACCCGGCACATCCCTACATATCAATGGTACTGAACAACATTCGAGTATGTAAAATGGCCACCAGTGATTAGAGTAAAGCCATTATTAGTCATCCCAAATCGGCACTCAAGAATAGTTAACTATGGAGACACTACGAGACTTCCCCAATCTGTCTTCCGATATCGCCCCATCAACTATATTAATGTTACCTCACGTACGTGTTAATAAAGTTTATATTATTTTTTTCATACAAGTAGTGGGCCACTATGCCCAAAGCAAACTGTCTTCGCCCGTTCCCTCCAAAGGAGGCTTGCCTGAAGCTCCTGTCACACATTCACGAATTTGGTCTCCCGAACGCTAGCCGAACGCCCGCCAACCATGGCGTTTTGCAAATTCGGCTACAGTTCGGCTGCGGCAGACGAATGTTTCAAGATGTAGAAAAAAAAACATTGGTGAGGCGTTCGGGAGGTCCTATCACCACTCACTCCGAGTCTCCCCATGACTGTCTGTTTCCATTTCGCTCTATATCTTCCATCGCAGCAGGCAGTTGACTTGGTCCTATCGAAGTTGGCTAGTTTTCGACCGAAAGACAAAAGAAAAACCCTGCCAACTACCCTGAGCTAGCAGTGTTCGGGGCGTGTTCAGGAATCAAATTTGGCTTAAATTTCACTGAAATTCGTCCGACTTAGCCGATCTGAATTCCTGCTGGCTACTAGATATAGGGCCTTCAAGTTCACCCCATTTCTAATGCCTGACCCCTGTCATTATCCCACCCACGTGCTATCAACCTGCTCTGTCATGAATACAAACCAACCTACTCAACAGTAAATTTTCCTTTGAAACAGGACAGATCCACAACACAACCATATTGTGCTCATTTTTTATTGCAACAAACTAGTGACAACGATCTTAACAAAAAAAGCTTTCCAAAAATACTTCAAAACTGCTCACATCTCGGGAAACGCAAAGAGGAATGATTCGGATAAGCGAATGACAGTCTGAGTCTCTCTGTAATAAAATATACAACTTCACTAAATCTCATTAAATTTCGTAGGCGACAGAATTCTTCAGTGACAGAATTCAGATGAATAATTTCTGTGTTTCCAGGATGAAAACAAAGCCTAGCTGAAAAGACATGTCAGGGGATTTTAAAACAACTTTCCTTTTCTTGAGTGTTCAAAATCTTTTTCTAGTGCTGATTAAAATAATTTTTTTGGATTACAAAATGTCAGAAAAAAGTAAACTGTAAATAAACAAATCAACCAAATTTGACATCAGAGAAAATATCATGTTTTTTTACAATCCATCCACAGAGAACCCTTTTTACCACTGATCACAGAAATGGTGCCTGTACAAAAAGACTCAGACTTGCCATGCATTCAAAAATAAACCTTAAGCCAACATATACACTACAATAGCTTCAACTAGCAAAGCATTGAGCAGTAATACATAACAAGGTAAGCAACATACTTGATCTAGAGCTTGCAACACCAGAGAATGTTTTAAGTACAATTCACAATTCTTTCTACGGGCAGCACAAAGTCTGTCACTTGGTTCTTGATCCCTTTTCTTGTCAGAATCTCAATCAGAATCTTAAGTCAGAAAGACAATTTTACAAGACAAGAACCAAGTGACCAAACTTTGCGTACCTTCAGCACAATTCTTAAAGGTAGAATCTTTCAATATATATATACAAACACCTGCCTTACTTAAAGATAGAAATTTTCCTTGAGTATAATCATCCACCATTGTTACTTTAAGGCCATGCAGTCGTACCTGCATCAATTTCAGAAATGGGAAATTGTACACTCTATAATCACATTCTTGATTTTGTTTACCATCACAAACTATTTTTCCAGCAGATTGAAGGAATATGGACAAGATTCACAGAAAAACTACACATATTCCTTATCAAAGGCTTTACCCCACCCCCCGCACACACACTGTATTTAGTTATTTACATACATACCAGTCACACCCATAGCTGTCTATTGAATACTGTTAAGGACCAATAACTGCCGTGAATCGTGCCTATTTAGAAGTGATTTTTACTGTGTCGACGCACCATCTAGCTGGTACCCACGGAATGGCACGATCAGCACCAAGGACAGCACCAGACTTATCCTTATGTGGGTTCTCACCAGCTGACAGTATCGCATAACAGGTCTTGTTTATCCCCGATATTCCGACTACCACATGTGGCAGGAGATCTTACCTCCATCAGGGATATATTACAGTGTCATCACCTGTCTGTTTGTTTGTTTATTTGTTGGTTGGTTGGTTGGTTGGTTAGCAGGATAAGTCCATTATAACAGTTTTGTTTGTTTCGCATAACCGTTAAACCGCCTTCAGGCGCAACACACCAGTTTTGTACATGTGCGTACATGTAAAAGCTGCGTAAGACCGGGCTGTAAGGTTTTGAACCACTCACACCGGGAAGATCCCCTACTCTTTTCGATAAGTGCGGTGGGTTCTTTAACGTGCATGGGGTGTGGCTCTCCCAAACACGGGACCTCCATTTAACGTCCTATCCGACGGACGCCCCTAAACGAAGCTAGGTACTCATTTCCACCTGAGTGAAGTGAGGAAATTCGTGTCAAGTGCCTTTCCCAAGGGCACAAGATCGGTGAAATGGGCAGGGTTCGAACCCGCGACCTCTGGGGTGTGAGCCGAACGCGCTACCGACTGCGCCAGTTGTGGCGGTTGAAACCGTCCAGTATTCCCCTCCACTTGAGTTTACTTTGCTTGAGGTACAGTCCATGAGTCACGTGCCTGCTGGGACGACTTCTATCTTGTAGACAGTGTCAACATAGTGGCAAAATACTCGAACCATGACGGTTACAGTGCCAAACCCCGGAAGTGACGACAAACCCCGGAAGCGAAACAAACCTGGCCAGACGTTTCTTTGTTCGTGAGTCACGCACCTAAAAATAGAACAGAGAGCGAAGGAAAAAAATAGTGTGTTTCACAGACGTTCTCTCAGCAGAAGCTCGCCATGTTGCGGGTGTGTGAGAAACTCCGTGAGGCGGACGAGAAGGGCAGGAGGTACGGACTAGCCCGGGCGGAGACAGGCTACCTCCGTGCCCTGGTGGACGCCATGGCCGACACGGACAGACTGGCGGAAGTGGAGCTGCTCAAAACTCTGGGCGACGTGAACGTGGAGAAGGGTAGACTCGGGAAGGACGTGGGGAAGTTCAACACAGCCTTGGCGCTTTACATTGCTGCTATGGTGCGGTGTTACCATGAAGAACAGGCAGATGGTATAGAACACCGCTACCACTACACGGAGAGGCTTTTACAAGGGGTGTCGTCACAGGGTAAAGAACAGCCAACTACAGACAAGGAGACGACTACACCTGCAAAGGTAGCGGCAAGGTTTCAAGCCCTGGACAAGAGACGGGCTACCGGAGGTAACACAGAATCTTTGCTGGTTGGATACGCACAGGTGATGGTAGAGGCGATAGTAAACGACGACAGCATGTTAGAAACAGAAGCGATCAAGAGTCTGGGTGACGTGTACCTGAAAAGAGGAACAGAAACTGGAGACACTAGAAACTTGACCAGAGCTACTGCTCTGTACAACAGGGCACTGGCGCGGTGTCACAACGTCCATGGTACAGTTGTCATTGTTCACCGCTTACTGCACACTGCAAAAGTCAGACAAGACATCAGAAACATAAAGGTGAGTGGCCATAGCTAGCAGCAATTTGGAGAATCATAGATCACTCATGATGAGATAAGAACGGTTTCCCCTAGATTAATAGCAGCTTTAGCACACTGAAGACCTTGTAACTACGCTACGATACTAACTTGAAACGTGAGGAAGGACAGAATACCGAGAAGGGTGGAGGTCTTGTCTCCCCAACGGTCGAATAATTAGATTAGGGGATAGATGAGATACGTTTGTGTGTGTCCGTAGTTTGTACCAGGATGTGTAACTGTCTTTGCGTTTTCTTGTGTCTCATATTTTAATATTTCAAGAATTTGTAAATGTATTTTTACTATTCATGGTCTATTAGAAGACTGAAGTGTAGACCATAATGCCCAAACTACTAACTAGCTGCAGCCTTCTCACAACGTTTAACTTTGGGTTGTTCAGAGATCACATCAGGTCCTGTTCCTTTCACCATTCGTTCAATTATAAATTAGATGATAAGATTGCTTGCATATTCTTTCATCAATGACCTTTACGTAGAGATGGACACGTATGCAACGACAGGACTTGAGGGGACGGAAGAGCAACTTCACTCCCTTCTCAGCTGCGCCCTTAGAAGAAGTCATTGAGGACGGAATGCGGCGTGTTCCCATGTATGTATGTTTGGTCCTTTTGATTGGCAAATACTCTAAAAGTATGTGAGCAGTGTGCTACATGTTAATGATAGCTCATAAAATATTTACGTTACTACCGATTGTCAGCTACACAAAGAAACCAGTGGCTCGGAAGCAATGAGAAGGCATTTCTGTGTCTACGCCCATGTTTGGGCCGGGCTCGTGAGCACGTAGCTGTATTGGAGATGGCTTATAAAATATTTAGTTACGTTTTATTGCCAGTTGCCTATACACAGCTACACAATTGAGGGGATTCTCTATTGAGTGTCTCTGCTCAGGTATGGTGGGTTTGGCCTTCCCCATGGGGCAGCTTGCACGCAACGTGCAGATATGGTTACCGACAATGTGATACAAATAATCACACATACAAGTACATGCCCGTGCGTTAAAAGGAGATCTATACGCCCTGAGAGGAACAAAAGACCACACCACAATATTTGCTAGTGAAGACTACATTTTTCGCATATTGGACAGGCATAAACTGTCTGATCCCCCTCCCAGTTAAAAAAGAAAACCATGTATCAGTTCTGTATCAAACTGTATCAAACATTTCATGACTGGGAATGTTACATAATATTAGACCTGATAAAACCAGGTTATGGGAATGCTAATGATCAATTAATCAACGTCATATGGAAATGTAGCCAGATATTTATTACGCACGTCATTAAATATTACTATATATAATTGTGATTTGTGACTAGATTGCAGAGATTTCCGTAAGAATATATGGTTGGCATAATATCCCTTTCGTACAACACTTTGTTGTACGTTTGCCACCTTTGAAAACTAAAGTTGCTTCAAACCTCTCGTTGTTTAGCTCCTACCGCAGGTACATCCTGACGGCAGACCGTGACTTGGGAAATGGAGACCTGGACGCAGCAGAGCAGAACCTAGCAGCCGCCCTGAAGCTGGTTCACGGTCTGTTATACACGTTCCTTGAAAACACAATTAATGCATGGCTGATCATTGAATTTCAAATTTTTTTTTAATTTTTTTGTGTTTTTTTTAAGTAAAAAATTTCTTAAGAAAGGTCTAAAATGCACAATTAAGATATTTTAAGGTAATTTCCTCTATCTTGAAAATCTTCCGACATTCATAATTTCTATAGATATCATGTTTTACAAGTGACAATTCGACTTGTAAATTTTAATGTGACTATCTCCATCACATAAATATCATTCATGAAAGTATCAGTTTGACCCATCCCATAATTTTTTCTAATTCCTACCTACAGATCGCAGTAAACCCAACAAGGCTAAAGAAGCCGACTGTCTGTGCAGGTTGGGTGACGTCTACGTCGAGCGAGGTAAGCGGACAGGAGAAGGTAGGAAATTCACACAGGCGGCAGCTCTGTATAACGCCTCCATAGCCAGAACAGATGGAGACAAACAAAACATGATAAAGAAACTGCAAGAAACAGAAAGGCAGTTTCTTAGAAACACCTGTAACCTTGACTGTGAACCGTGTCCGTATAGCAGCGCGTTAGATCACAGAAAGGAACTGGACAACTCGCGCGCCTGTGCAAAATCTCAGCTCGAAACAATTCATCAGGAACACAACCCTTATCAGTATGATGAAGACGATCCCGTCGTGAGAGAGGTGGAGACCAAACGAGCTGAAGCAATCAAGAACTTGTTCAAGAGCATCACAGCTGGAAGACGAGAGTTTATCCAAGTACTGACAGATGAATGCATCGCCAAACTCGGACCTCCTCCCTGTAAGTACGCTTTCACCGGGTTGGGGTCACAGGCCACAGAACTGGTGACGCCGTACTCCGACCTGGAGTTCGCCATTCTGATTGAGGAGGGGAAGGATGATGATGATGATACACAGAGGTACTTCCTAAATCTCACACACTACTTACATCTAAAAGTCATCAACCTTGGGGAAACCATCCTCCCAGCCATGGCCATCCCGTCACTCAACGACTTTCTCTCAGAAGACTCAGAGAAAGACTGGTTCTTCGACTCCGTCACACCTCGCGGCTTCGCCTTCGACGGCTTCATGCCGTGGGCTTCTAAGACTCCGTTTGGAAGAGACGAAACCAAAAGCAAACCTCCCGTTAGTCTTATCCAGACTCCTGCCAAGTTGGCGGAATATCAGCATCTGCACATCGCCCTGGCGGAAGGCTATCACCTGTCAGACATCCTCAGACGGGTGACCTACTTGACAGGGGATGAGTTTTTGGTGGATGAGTATACGGACAAAGTCAACAAAAGCGTCGACCGTTCTCCAGTTCTTACACGGTTGTCAGCAATTCTAATGCTAAAGGATAATATTCAGCAAATAGTGAATGCTGAACCAACGGACCAACTTCTGGATGTCAAGAAAGACATCTACCGTTTTCCCAGCGTGGCCGTTGATGTGTTGAGTATTTGCTGCGGTATCACGATCCCCAGTGTGTGGGGAATGATAGAAGAGTTACACAAGACACAGCGGATCAGTGACGAAGATGCCCACCACTTGACTGTACTGATCAGCATCTCAGCGGAGCTACGGTTAAGAACGTACATTGCCAACGGAGGACAGAAGGACAGACTGTCTCCTCTCACGGAGATGAAAGTCCAACTGGACAAACATGACATAGATGACACTTTCGTTGAATCAGTTTTCTACATACCAGACTCAAAAATGCTTTTTAGGTACTACTATACTGCCATTCCATTAAAACGATGCATTGTGGATGCAGTTAAAGAGGAAAATCCAACGACAACGATATTCCCAACACGAATCTTTGACATCTCATCTCTAGCAAAGGGTAAAATAACACTGCAGCTGTTGCAGTTTGATGCATCCAGTCGTCACCTGGAGGCAGCTCTGAAAGATTCGGGTGGTGACGAGGAAAAACAGTTCGAAATACTTAATGAATTAGGCAGTGCCTCTTACTGGCGCGGTGGCTATAAGACTGCAAAGAGCTTCTACGAACGGGCACTTAGCATTGGAAATACCATTGATGGACCTACATTTGCCTCGTTACTTGGAAACATTGGGGCATGTTGGAATAAGCTTGGCGATCAGAGAAAGGCTGTCAGTTATCACGAACACTCACTGAAGACGTGGAAGGATATTTATGGTGAAACAACACCACATCCCGACATTGCGTCATCACTAAACAACATTGGGGCATGTTGGAGGGACCTTGGCAATAAGAGGAAAGCTTTTAGGTATCACGAACAGTCACTGAACATGAAAAAAGCTATCTATGGTGAAACAACGCCACATCCCGACATTGCTGGATCACTAAACAACATTGGAGCATGTTGGAGTGACCTTGGCGATAAGAGGAAAGCTATCAGTTATTACGAACAGTCACTGAAGATGAGGAAAGCTATCTATGGTGAAACAACGCCACATCCCGACATTGCTTCTTCACTAAACAACATTGGAGCATGTTGGAATGACCTTGGCGATCAGACTAAAGCCATCAGTTATCACGAACAGTCACTGAAGATGAGGAAAGCTATCTATGGTGAAACAACGCCACATCCCGACATTGCTTCTTCACTGAACAACATTGGGAACTGTTGGAGTGATCTTGGCGGTCAGGGGAAAGCTATCAGTTATCACGAAAAGTCACTGGAGATGATGAAAGCTATCTATGGTGAAAACAGAGTACATCCTGACATTGCGTATTCACTTTGTAACATTGGAAACTGTTGGGGAAAACTTGGAGACTACAGTAAAGCCATGAGGTATTACGAGCTGTCATTGGACATGATGAAAGTTATCTACAGGGACAACCCGGAACATCCCCACATAGCAGCGGTACTGGACAACATTCGATTATGTAAAAAGGCCACCAGTGATTAGAGTAAAGCCGTTTTATCACAAATCGACAATCAAGAATAGTCAACTAGATGGAGACACTACGAGACATCCACAGTCTGTCTTCCATATCGTCTCATTATATAAGTTTATTGATGTTACCTCACGTACGTGTAAACAAAGTTTTTAAATACAAGTAGTGGGCCACTAAGCCCAAAGCAAGCTGTCTGCGCCCGTTCCCTCCAAAGGAGGCTTACCTGAACCTCCTGTCACACATTCACGAATTTGGTCTCCCGATCACCCGCAAACGTTGGTTAGGAGTTGGTCAGCTTGCCTTCGGCTAGTCTGACTGATCCTCGCTTTTCACCGGCTCCCTAGTTAGTCCGCCACCCTGGGGTGGAATGCTCCTTAAGCGCCGGACAAGGAGCTTGTGTTTCACACACCAGCGTTCGGCTGATTCGGCAACAGTTCCACTGCAACTGCCGATTGTTTCAAAATGTTCAAAAATCATTAGCAAAGCGTTCGGGAGGTTCGATCATAGTTGGCTGGTTTTCGACCGTAAGTCAGCAAAACAACCGCCAACCGTCCTGAAGTACAATGTAAGTTAGCAGTGTTCCGGAATCAAACTTGGCTTCAATTTCACTCAAATTCGTCCGACTCAACCGATCTGAATTCCTGCTGGCTACTAGATCTGGGTCCTTCATGTTCACCCCATTTTTATGTCTGACCTCCTGTCATTCTCCCACCCACGTGCTGTCAACCTATCATGGATACACACAAACGTACCTACTCCTTAGAACTTAACTTTCCTTAGACAGCAGCGTAGATCCACAAAAGATTGATAGCGTATTCAGGTGCAACGACATGGAACAGTTTACCACCAAATGTAAGAAAAGCACCCTCAGTGGCAGCATTTAAGAACATGCTACAATAATCTACTACGGGATTGGTCAGGACTGGTAGGACTGAATTGATAGAGACGATGCTGTATCTTGTGTAAGTTTTGAAAAGTACTCTTCTTTGAAATATTGTAATACGTTAATTTTGTATTTATATGCTATTGGGACCCCTTACCTCTCCCCTTGAACGTTTGAAAAGCGGTCACGGTCGAATTGTAATTTCAAGGTTAAATAAAGGTCGAAAGAAAACAACAGTCATATTGTGCTCATTTTTTATTGCAACAAACTAGTGACAACGATCTTAACAACAAAAGCTTTCAAAAATACTTCAAACTGATCACATCTCGGGAAACGCAAAGAGGAATGATTCGGATCAGCAGATGACAGTCTGAGTCTTTTTGTCATAAAATACACAACTTCACTAAATCTCATTAAAGTTCGTAGGCGACAGAATTCAGATGAATAATTTGTCTGTTTTTCCAGGATGAAAACAAAGCCTAGTTGAAAAGACATGTCAAGGGATTTTAAAACAACTTTCCTTTTCTTGAGTGTTCAAAACCTTCATTTCTGAATTACAAAAGAACCGTAAATAAATAAATCAATTTGACTAGATTAAACTTGTCATCAAACAACCCATCATTTTACAATCCATCCACAGAGAACCCTTTTTACCACTGATCATAGAAATGGTGCCTGTTACAGAAAGACTCAGACTTGCCATGCATTCAAAAATAAACTTTTTAGCCAACATATACACTATAATAGCTTCCACTAGCAAAGCATTGAGCAGTAATACATAACAAGGTAAGCAACATACTTGATCTAGAGCTTGCAACACCAGAGAATGTTTTAAGTACAATTCACTTCTTAAATTCTTCCTAAGGGCAACACAAAGTCTGTCACTTGGTTCTTGATCCCTTTTCTTGTCAGAATCTCAATCAGAACCTTAAGTCACAAAGACAATTTTGTAAGACAAGGACCAAGTGACCAAACTTTGGTACCTTCAGCACAATTCTTAAAGGTAGAATCTTTCAATATATATACAAACACCTGCCTTACTTAAAGATAGAAATTTTCCTTGAGTATAATCATCCACCATCGTTACTATAAGGCCATGCAGTCGTACCTGCATCAATTTCAGAAATGGGAATTGTACACTCTACAATCACAATTCTTGATTTTTTTGGTGTTTTACATCACAACTTATTTTTCCAGCATATTGAATATGGACAAGATTCTTGGACTTCTCCTAAAACTGTACTTAAGCACATATTCCTTATCAAAAGCTTTACAATGGAGTGGATGCAGAGGTAAATTCTTTACACTGAAAGCTGCCTACGACATACAAAAATGCAAACTTAATAATAAAATAAGAAAAAATACAGCAAATCCTCTTTGATACATCTGTCCATGTGACAAGTATCTGCAACCGAGACAAACTTTGGCAACAGCGGTAAAGCAACAAATGTGTACATCTGCATAAAAGTGTCCAAAACTACTACAACGCCAATGTCCAGCAATGGGCCGTGCTTTTACTTACGGATGCAAAGAGGATAGCAGCAAAACTACTAGTAACTAACACACTACAGATAGACATGGCACGGAAGGGTCAACGTTAAGCAAATGGTTAACCCTGCGAAACCGTGAGGTAAAAAGGTGGAGTACTTAGGATTAACCTTCAGAAGGCTAAGGGTGTAAAGAAGTAGGGAAGTAAAGAAGACAAGACATCGTAGACAACAAAGAGTCACAAGTTGCTTGCAAGGGACTCTGGACAGAGAGTTTGGGTTACAGACGAGGTCAGATGTAAGCCTCGATGGCCACTCGGTAACGCTCTCTCTGGTGACCGGACCAACTTCGCGGGACCAACCTCTCCTTCTGCCCTGTTGGTGACGAGGGAAGGGAAGGGCGAGACACACAGAAAGAAACACAGCAGGGAAAACAAAAGACGGAGAGTTACGCAAAACACAGAAGACACATTTCACAAAGCTAGTCTCCACCAGGCTAACAAAGTGGGTTCAAAAAAAGTAAAATTTAGCCAATAGGGAGAATAATTGACTATGGGAGTTTAGCCACCATAGAGACTGACTCTTCTGGCAGACTATTCCCCTTTTTTTTACGAAATTCTACAATCTGTGCCCCAAGAAAACCTGGTGGAGGCTACAACAAAGCAGCTAAAGCTGACGATGGACACTGCAAAGACGTAGCCATACTATCCATGGTGGACTAAGTTGCAACAGAAAGTGGTTACAAACAATTTGTTACAGAGCGTTGGCCCCTTTTGGATCAAATCCTGAACTGCATCTTCCAACACTCATACTTGGAACAGATGTGCCACTGCTATACCCATGTGTTATTTGCACAATGTGCATGGTGGATTGACAGATAGATAAATAAATAACGAAACAAATACAAAATAGCAACAGATCGACTCATTGTTTTGCAAAGGTTATAAAAATTTTGGGTGCAACCAAGTGCTTTTGTGTTCAGGATTTGTTCCAAGACAAGTTGCAGCAAGCAGCTAAAGCTTTACACAGATGAACCTTCCATGCTACACATTGACGGGCTCATCTTAAAAGTACAAAATGCAGACCACATGTCAAACATGGGGCAAGTCCCACGTATATATACAGTAATTAATACATAATGCAGTTATGGCACAGCGACAGGCTGCATAAACCCTCATAGAGCAAAAATGCAGCCGATTTGCAACCACATAAAGTACATGTACAAAGGGTTGCATCTAAATACAATGTACATGTACAAAGCCTTGGTGTTATATTATTGCTCCATATGAGGTAAGGAACTACTACTGACAATCATTCCGCATAAGTGCAAGACATTCTGCAATGATGTAGTATACAGTAGTTCCACTTTTAATCACTAATCTTAAGCTCGCAAGCATCTAGCTTTTCCACATCACATAACTAGAAAGCAAGCTGTTAAGCAGAAAAATAAATAATGGCAATATTCTGCTTTCGACAAGTGCATTTTCTGTTGCTTTCCCAACAAATCAGTTGAATGTTGGCGGCAAAGGAACATACTTTTGTTACTATTCTGTCACGAGCTAGTAGAAACTTCCGATGCCATTTCCATGATTCGTGCTGATTGTGATACGAAAAAATATAAGCTTCATAGAGAAGATGTTATGGCAATCCACGACTGTGGTCATGTATGCAGCGAAACAGGCATAATTATCATATACAGGTCATCCTCAAGTACATGTAATTTCCTTACAAAAAACATCCAAGATTTACGTGTTTTCCTGTCACAACCACATCACACACTCAAACACCCTTATTTAATACTTAACATTTGGACCCTGGTTTTGTTTCATTTCCCTATTACTTAATTATGTGCCGTTAAGTGCTCTTAAACACACCCAGCTAATTAACCTTAAGGGTTGGTTCTAGTGAGGTACACTTTCCACAAAATAAAGGCTATTTCTGTAGTACGCAGATAGAGGCTTGGGGAGGGTGCCGTCCAGGACAAGTGTAGGAACATGCTTCGAAGAACTCACTGAAGTGTTGCAAGCATAAAAAAATTTCTTGCTCGTTTGTGAGTTTCTTAAAACCGAGAAGCGCAAAACTTGTCTTCGAACAAGTTTACCGGATTGGAAATGCTCAAAATGCTTTAGTAATGAAAGCCAAGTCTCATCACTGTGCAAACAAGGTTTGACTATTTTCACAAAAAAGTACTGTAGGTCCAAACTGTACATTCTCTTAGTTTCTCCATCATCTTTAACTTCTGCTGCAAAGCCCAAAATGACAGGAATGTGGGAATCTCTAAGTTTCTCAGCAGAGCCTTGAGAAGTTTTTTTTCTGAAGTACTGTAATTCACTTTATGTTCATGGTAGCAAAAGTTTACGGTCTGAGAAAAATGGACATGTTCATTGAACTGTCTATTCACAGTGGCGACAGGAGCAGGAAAAAGAAAGTCCATGGAATCATTTGTTAACTGTAATGATATTAGCTCACTGTACACTGAAAACAGTGTACATAACAGTTACTGTACCATAAACAAAAATCAGGAACTAATGTACATGAAACGAACAATCTCTGGACGACACCCTACCCAAGGGTCACCCCAATATGGGGGGTTCGGAACTTACAAGTTCAAGGTGAACCAGAAGTGAGCAGAGCGGCTTCCACGACTACACAACGACCAAGCAGACATTTCATGCCTTCCTTATTAGGGGACAGGGAGAGACTTTAAGAAAAACACTGTTTTGCAGACTGTGGAAGTAGTATCCAGTCTTTGTAGACTATCCAAATGTAAAATATTGTTTTGTATAGACTCTGGTACATGTGGTAGTAGTAGTATCCAGTATTTGTAAGTAACTTTAGGCTATCCAAATTGGTATGAACACAGCCTGAGTCCCTTTGAAAGGTTTGCGAACAGTTAAGTGTTCACTGTTGCAGAGAAAAACAGCACCGCTAGTACTGAAAATGGTTTCCGTTTTTGGGTCCAATAACAATTTTTTGGGGGTGGGGGTGGGGGGCATTCTTTAGGCTGTCCAAATTGGTATGAACACATCCTGAGTCCCTTTGAAAGGTTTTGAAGTCTTAAGTGCTCACTTCTAAACTGTTGCAGAGAAAACAGCACCAATAGTACTGAAAAGGTTTCTGTTTTGGGTCCAATAACATTTTTTGGGGTGGGGGTGGGGGGCATTCTTGAAGCCAAGTGTCTGCTTTCACACCCATCCAAACACACTCTCTACAGTAGGCAAATCTGAACATCCTTATCAACTAGGCAATATATTATCCTCAAATAGTAATATCAGGAGTAAGGTACTTCTTTTCACAGGTGTTAGGCCAGGGCTCTAGCCAGCTCTAAATCTTTTTCCGTCAACCCAGGTTGGACTTGGTCATCGGACTTGGGGGAAGAGTGCTCGCAATTTTGGAGGTCCGGGGACAAATTTTTGGATTTCCAAGCCTTTAAAAATGCAATTTCCCACATTTTGAGAGGCAAATCATGGGAATAAGAGTGATTGTTGGTGGTCCTTTGGACGTTTTTTATATTTCTACCCAAAATTTTTGTCAATTTTGTCCATCAAAGTTGACAGACTCCGGATGTGAAAAGGAGGATCGGTCTTCTAACCACAACTCTCAAAGACTCATAGAATCTGAAACTGGTTTAGAAGGACCTGAACTTCTGTCTGCATTGACTGACAAACAGAACCGAAAACAGAACTTCTCCTGCTACACCTTATGACGAGGATGACCGAAGAAGGAAGTTGACGGTTTGGTTTAAGAATTTTTCCAGCAAACGCCACAAAGTCCCTGGGATTGAGGAAAAACTGGTTGCCGGCTAGAGCCCTGTGTTAGGCGGGTTTTAAGGGTTGGCCTGCTAGATGGTGGAGATGTAGGAGTTGCCTGTTCCTTCTGTGTCCTGGAGGGGAACTTTCTTCTCCGGTTCCGACTGTGAGGACTCTGCACTGCTGGTGCTCACCAGGGCGGGACCCCAGTCGTCTGAGGACTCACAGGCATAGCGTAGCCGCTGCGGAGGGAAAGGGAGTTAGTTAGAGTCTTAATTGATCCTCACTGTACAAATCCTAGTGATTACGCAGAACTAAATGTAGCTAGTTTCAAAGATGGATCCCACTTGTTGGACGACTCGCAGGCATACAATGTCATGTAGTATAGCCGCTAAGGAGGGAGCCAAGAATTAGTTATAGTCTCTGCAAACCTTTCTACACATCCCACAATGTAGTACTGCTTTCTATACATCCTAGTACAGAATTAGCCTCTACAAGGCTTCAGGAAGCTGTTGGAAAGAGCAGTTTCACAGATGGACCCCAGTCGCCTGACAATTTGCAGGTATAGCGTACATGTAGGTGCTATGGAGGGAGCTGAGAGTTTGTTGCAGTCTCTGAAATCCTTTCTGTTGTTTACATAGAATTGGACATTAACTTTAAACAGTTTCAAAAGTCAGACCACAGAAAATGACTCTAAATCTAGAAGGTTAAAGCTCTTAAGAAAAAAAACAAGAATACAAGTACACGTAAGATCTGCATGCATCTGAGTCAAAGTCACATGTAAGACAATATTGAGCAAAAGACAACATCACCAAAAACTCACTTCCATGAAGCTGCCCTTGGCCTTGAGGATGGCGAGAACCGCAAACAGGGGCACCATAATGATGGACAGCAGAGCCATGAACCAGCCGATACAGATGGCCCAGCCGGGGTACTGGTAGTCTCCGTAGTACGCAGGCACGTGCACCACCATGCTGAACACTACAATGAACTAGGGAGAGGAAAGAACAATTACAAATGACTGATTGATCAATGATTGGTTAATTAGTATTCAGAGTCTATTTCAGACTTGAACAAGAGCACAAGAGATGACTGACTACTGTAATTCCTGATTTGTTCACTGTACTGATAAGTTCACTGTTTTCACTGTCTCTTGTGTAAAGTGAACTTATCATTACAGTTAACAAATAATTCCTGGATTTTCTTGTTCCTGCACTTGTCACCACCGTGAACATATAGTTACGTGAACATGTCCATTTTTCTCAGACCGTGAAATTTTGCTACCGTGAACATAAAGTGAATTACAGTATCAGTACCACCACTACTACTACTACTCTCTCTCTCTCTCTCTCTTAGTGCATATCAGTGTTTAGCACTGAGGCCGGCCGGCATTGCCTTCCACAGTTTTTTGTTCGTTGCTGCCTTTTTACTACTACTTTACTACATTTTTTACTAGTACTACTACAGTAACTGTAACAGTAACTACAGTTTCTGTACTACTGTACAGTAGCAACTCTACCACAACAGTAACTAAGTTACTACAACAATAACAACTACAACTTGTGCTACATGTACGTACCAGTAGGACCATGGGAGAGATGACAGCCCAGCAGATCTTGAAGTAGTAGTTGGGCTGGTAGCCGATCATCTCCTGAACGTTCTTGCAGAAGCGCTGGAATCCTGGCAAAAAAATGAAGAGAAAAATAAGTCAATAATTTTCAGTATGGTGTTGAAAAAGGGTTGTACAAATACACTGAAAAATTCTATTGGGCACTTTTAAGTCTAAATTGTTTAGTAATTGTAATCACTATTTACTCATTTTGGAATGAGTAAAAAATCTGTATCTGAGTTCATAAAATCACCTTTGCGAACAAAAATTAATTTAGAGGTGGTCACATTGCATGTAATCGTGTCAAAGAAAACTTCTGAAGTATTGAGACCAACAATGACAGATAAGGAAGATTCCTTCTTAGACATATTGTAGAGTACAACTTGCTGCCACCAACCATAGATAGCTTTAAACAACACTTAGCTGCTGCACCGAGTACCTTCAATCTAGTGCGTTACACAAATGGGTGGATATACAGATACTTAAGATTTCAATAGAATTGAAGTGAGTACTCGGCAGAACTTACCGTACACCCATGAGATGGCCACACACATGAAGAAAGCCAGGACCATCAGGGAGAAGCCAGCTGAGTACCAGTCCATCAGGTTCAGCCAGTACATGCCGGCCTGGGAAGAGATAGCATAGAAACTTCAACTACCTGTCTATCCGGTTTAGCATCTGTTGTTCCCCATCTTTTGAGGAGTACACGTGCTTGCACACTGATGGTGATATCAACATCTGCCCGATACACATGTACTCCAAGTAACATCGATGAAGGTTAGACATCCATGCATGTAATGTTACACATGAGAAAACTGTTACTCAAGAAACTGGATAGCTATGAAATTCTATCCAGCTGAGCAAAAATTTCTTGAGTACCCTACCCCAAGCATTGTTGTACATGTGTGTATCTAATGGCCCAGTGGCTAGGTGAGCAGACATATTTATATAAGAGGTCACAGGTTATATTCCTAGGGAAAGGCACTTATCACGACTTTCCTCACTCCACCAATATAGCGTGCATGCCAGGAAAGCAAACTATCAGGATTTGATCTCCCAATCTCTTGGTCCTGAGGCAGGGTCACTAAAACCACTGGACTATGCACACTACAATGACATACATGTACATGTATAGACAGGTTAAAGGCACATTTTGATAGACAGCTTTTAATTGACAAAAAGTACTATAGCAAAAACCTTACAAATCGTTTAGTCCAACCTCTCAATCTTGTGCTGCTGCTCAGACATGCTAGTTTGGTCAATATAGACGGGTTTAACTTACGTTGGTGACACAGGTGAGTCCGAGGAGGTACATGGCGACAGACACGACCAGCAGCACCCATGTCTTGTACTTCTGCATGATGTGGGGAAACTCGTCACAGATGCCAGTAATGCAGGTCTCAAGCATCACAAACTAGTGGGGGAAACACAGAGAGAGGTTTGGTTAAATTGCTCTATAATGGACAAAAAATACACATCCATGCAGATAGCTTTACTGCAAGAAAGCATACATGGACAAAAATTGAGAAGTTGTCAGAGATTCCAGTTAATATAAGTCTACAGATCAAGAGTTTTTTTAGTTAAATAAGTCTTGTTAAATTCTTGACAAAGATGACTGTCTGACCTCACTAAGGGTTGGGGTAAAAGTAGAATTTACTCTTACTATGGACAAAAAAGACGGAAAACTGACCGAGAAATGACTGAGTAACAACGTGTGACATGCCTAGGATGTGGAAATCACAACAGCACCACAAGCAAACAAAACACAAAACATACACAAACGTAAAAACTGAGTACACACCTGAGTGTCGAGTCCTACAGTGAAGATCATGAAGAAGAACAGGACGGACCAGAGTGGGGCGACCGGCAGCAGAGTCAGGGCCTCGGGGTACGCAACAAACACAAGGCCAGGGCCTACAGGGGGAAGGGTTATATGACAGTGAGCATATTACATTCTTGTTTTGCCTTAGAGAATGTATCAACAAAATTACATACATTTCATTCTACTACATCCATACATGGTTTCTCCTCTTCAGGCGTTGAAAGGGAAAAAAATCAAGCAAGTTTCCGCGCCTCAGCACATTTAAGATATGTACAGGAAGAAGGGCAATATATCTGCATGGGGCTTCAAGAAGGCATCTATATCAAGGCAAGTATCCCTCAACAGGGACAGGCAGTGCAGCAAACTTTCTGCAACCTTATGAGCAGTGGGCTCACGGAGTCACGTGTGTTATCTGTGTGACATCACGGAAGCGGTGGATTGCTCATGCCTTGACAAAGCTAAATTTTTTATTATACTCCAGCCTAAGGCCAATTTTTTGAGTTGGAAATTACAGTTCAAACTTCATGATGACTTCTCCCTACACAGAGGAACCTTTGAGCTAAAACCTGCGTACCGTTTGCGACCACATCCTTGACGTCCATGTCCAGCTTGTGAGCCATGTGGCCCAGGATGGAGAACACAACAACACCGGCAAACACACTGGTGCAGCAGTTACTCAGCGCGATGAACACAGAATCCCTGAAAACAACAAGGCAGCGTGTCAGATTTACCGAAAAAATCCCATGTCAATTAAGGAAAAACATCCAGGTAAAATGATACACAAGAAAACAATTACTAGTTGGTGCAATAGACACAGAATCCCTGGAAACAAGGCAATGATTTGGGAGATAAACGAATGTTTGCTTTTGTGTTACCCTGAAGCTGACTGGTGTATTATGCTTAATTTACTACGTATACGCTTATTTTTCCAACGATATTTCTTAAAAGAAACTGTGGATGCTGCGGATTCTCTGTAGGCCTCTCACCTGTGAGTGTTGTTGTTTCTCACCTGTGTGTGTTATTGTTTCTCACCTGTGAGTGTTGTTGTTGAACTTGTTGTAGCTGGCCATGACTTGGGTCCCGCCGAAAGCAATCCCCAGAGAGTAGAAGATCTGGGAGGCAGCGTCATACCACACCTGCACACAAAGTTACAAGTACATGTCAATGTCTTCTCCAATGTACATACACGTACATTGTATAGAAAATACATGTTGTACGAATTGGGTATCTCCGAAGAAGATTCAGATGTTTCAGATAGCATCTGCTACATTGTATCTTTTATGAGTGACTGAGAAAGAGTCACTTCACAAACACACACACACACACATGCACACACCTACCCACACACACCTACTCACACACACACACACACATACACACACACAAAAACATGAACACCTACATGTACTCACACATACAGGCACACATACATTACTCCAAAAGCTACTGTGGGTGCATCAGACTGTATTTTTAAGAGAATGACTGCCCAGAAGAGGAAGTGAAGTTCCACTCCGTCCTACCTCAGAGTCTGACACTTAAAATATGCTGTATACTACAGTGTACAATACATTTAACATTACATAAACCTATGAAAATATTTGGGTGCACTGGTCATCCACAGAAAACAATTGTATGCACAGCTCCAAATTTGGGTGCACTCAGGTGCACAATCATGCACCCAGTATTTCCAGCCATGCAAACACACACAAACAAGCTTTCGAGTTTAAATAAAGGCTTACTACTACTACTACTACTAACTACTGGTGTTATTCTGGTGAGAACTGTTATTCTGTGCAGATTTTCTGCAACGTTGTACTGAAGCTGGATGGTGATCGTCCCTACCTGAGAGTCGGCCAGGCGGCTGAAGTCAGGAGTCAGGTAGTACACCAGACCCTTCCCAGCACCCTCCAGGGTAACCCCGCGCAGGAACAGAACTATCAGCATCATGTAGGGGAACGTGGCAGTGAAGTACACAACCTGCAGACAGAACAGTGTAGAACATCAGGTACAGAACAATGTAGAACATCAGGTACAGAACAATGTAGAACATCAGGTACAGGACTATCAGCATCATGTAGGGGAACGTGGCAGTGAAGTACACAACCTAACAAAACAACACACTACATGTCAATTTGATTTTATTCTTTCTCGTACATTTTTATAAAAAGGAGTATTGTGGCAGACATACTACTGCAACACTAGCAATACTCTCGGAATTGAATTCCAAACTATCAAACAAAAAATCATGTATTCTAAGATGACAAATTTGAAGGTAAACACAAAACTTCGTAAGATGACTTTCGAAGATGACAAGGTAAAAACAAAACTTCCTAACTAAAAGGTGACTTCCGAAGATGACAAGGTGAAAACAAAACTTCCTAAGTTGACTGGAGTTGCCGACATGATTACCTATCCGGATGACGTGATGACCTTGATGCGCTTCAATAACCATGCATTTGAAGACGACTTGGTAAAAACAAAAGTGTCTAACGTGAAGTGTCTAACGTGAAGTGTCTAACGTGAAGTGTCTAACGTGAAGTAGCTGACGTGTTTACCTTTCCAGATGACTTGATGCCCTTGAAGAGGCAGAAGAAGACGACGACCCAGGCTCCCAGCAGGCATAGCGCCAGCTCCCACTGAACCGTCCCCGTCTCCTCGATACCGGCCGAGATGCCCAGAACACGGTTACTAGGGAAACAAGGGGGGAAAGGTCACATTTTTAGATACTATTGAGAATCAGAAAGCTCACACTCACACATTCACCAACGCACACACACGCGTAGACACGCACATGCACAGACACACACACACAAGTACAGACACACACATCCTTACTTCCAGTATTCCTGAGTGAGATACGGGTGACGTTCTCAAAAATACCAGCACATTTCATTCAAAACTTCACTGAAAACTTCATTCTCAATTCTCTACCAATATACACGCGCACAAGAACACACACACACTCGCACACACACACGCACACACACACACAATAGTCGGCAATGCATCCTTATTTCCATTAATCCTGAGTGGGTGAGTTCTCCATTTTGCAGTCAAAAACACGCACACACATTCACACACATACCTATTAACCCACAAACACATACACACACACCTTCACACACACACACCTTCACACACATACACACACACCTTCACACACACACACACACTATTCGGTAACACAGCCTTACTTCCAGTACTCCTGTGTAGGAGAGATACGTGTGACGTTCTCCTCCAGTGCAGAGTGGTTAGCGGCCAGGGTGCAGTTCTCCGTGTTCCAGGGTTTGTCACAAACACAAAAACCTGCACACACACACATATACTCACAGACACACATACAGACACACACAAACACAGACACACACATTTGCAGATACGATCACACACACACACAGACACACACACACACAGACACACACACACATACACACATACTGTGCACACACACAAACACACTAGCAATGCATCCTTACTTCCAGTGCTACTGAGTGGGTGAGATACAAATGTACGTGTGACGTTCTCCTCCAGTGCAGAGTGGTTGGTAGCCAGGGTGCAGTTCTCCGAGTTCCAGGGTTGTCGCAGTCACACAAAAACCTGCACACACACATATACTCACACACACACACACGCATGTATAAGCTATGCATCCTTACTTCCAGTACTCCTGAGTGGGAGAGATACGTGTGACGTTCTCCTCCAGTGCAGAGTGGTTGGCTGCCAGAGTGCAGTTCTCCGTGTTTCAGGGTTGTCGCAGTCACACAAAAACCTGCACACACACATATACTCACACACACACGCATGTATAAGCTATGCATCCTTACTTTCAGTACTCCTGTGTAGGAGAGATACGTGTGACGTTCTCCTCCAGGGCAGAGTGGTTGGCTGCCAGGGTGCAGTTCTCCGTGTTTCAGGGTTGTCGCAGTCACACAAAAACCTGCACACACACATATACTCACACACACACGCATGTATAAGCTATGCATCCTTACTTCCAGTACTCCTGTGTAGGTGAGATACGTGTGACGTTCTCCTCCAGTGCAGAGTGGTTAGCGGCGAGGGTGCAGTTCTCCGTGTTCCAGGGGTTGTCACAGCTGGCCCAGGGCAGAGCCGACGTGAAGGAGGAGAAGAGGAAGTGCAGGGTCCAGGCGATTATAACGTTGTAGTAAATACAGACCAGGCCTGACACTACCACCATGCCATAGCCGATTCCTGGGAGAAGTCGAAGGTACGAGAGTTAGCCGTGCGGGAGGGACACATACACTGTCATGTTTTTCCACCTCCCCTCATCACACCTGGCCACTTGGAGGTGTCAAGTCGATTTGCAGGCAAGCGACGTTACATGTCTTTTTTTTTCTTTTTACATTTTTATACTTGCTTTGATTTTTTTTTGTTCTTCAATCTACGAAAAGACAAACTGCAAGGAGCAGTTTCTGCTTATGCTAAATTTGAATCTGGTATATTTTTCTTTCGTTGTTGACTACTCTGGATCCGACTCTCATCATCCAATTGCAACCACCACCGATTTGTAGTTGAAAATAGACTTTTTTTAACAGTTTCGTTTGTACATGTTTATAGTATGCTTATCTTTCAACTTTTTTTTCTAAAAATTACGGCAAGTGATGCCAAACTTCGCAGGCAGAAAAGTGTCCAAACAACCATCGTCATTCTCTCTCTCATGCAGATGGTTCTGACACCTCAAAGTGGCCCCATGAGGGGTCAGAGTTCACCCATCCCAGTGCCCAGCCTGTCACCGCGTTGCGATATTCCTACTTGTATGTGTCCAAAGTTAGAGACCTGTCTTATAATGAAAGGGGCAGTTATAAAGGCTCCAATTCCGGATGGGCGGTTGATGGAGGAAAAACAAACAAATCTACCGTGGGTATGCCATGTTGAGAAAGTTCGTAATTTCTACACATGCTGGTGGTTTATTGTCGTTATTTGCTTGCTCACTTCTTCACCGTGATGTTTTTTAGCCACACAGACAGACCCTAGAATACGTAGGTGACAACTTCTGCTGCAATGAAAATCTAACTCTTTTGAATCATCACTTTCTTCCCCTGATCAACCTAACCGAAAACCTTGGGGCATTTCCCTGGTACAGTGAATCTGTGAACACTAATGCATATAGCATCTGTCTTCTCTTCTCTGCATCTGTCTTCTGTCACAACCAGTGGATGAGTAGTACTTCAGTACCTTAAAGATAAAACCATTCTTTTCCTGAACATTTTAAGTAGAAAAAGCAGCTGCTCAAATGTGAAAACTATCCACAACGAGGCAATGTCTTGCTCCAGTCCACAAGACATTGTTTGTAGTTGAAGGAAAAACACATTTTCAAACATGTCAATTCTGGGCTGGTCAGAGGTTGCAGCTTTTCCTTGTCTCACTTTTATACATCACTGCAGTTCCCATGTACATTGCCAGGGGGAGCCGGTGCAGGGCAAAAAGACCACTTCTGTATCAGCTGGTGACTACCGGCACTGTTTGAATCAGGACTTGTTGGTTTGTACAATAATTTGTGGATTGGGAAAGCAAAAAGCTATGAATAACTGATAGCATTTTGTGTGAAGGCTGAAGCTAAGGTAATAAGTGATCAGATTTACACATGTAGCAAAGAGCAGAATACAATGATCTTAGAGTTTTCCATCCGTGCAAAATAGGACTGATGCTACAATATGAAGTGTTCAATTTGCCTGTGTATCGTGAGTTGTCTTTCTTCACAACTTTTGTGAAAAATACTTCTACATGTAGGTAAGCTGGTGCTCTCTGAGTCCAATCTCCACAGAAAAGCTTGCCACAAAAGCATCGTGATGGCATTTCAACAGACAACGTGCACACTACATCACCATTGAGATATACTGCACTGAACCTGAGAAAAGTTGAAAGTTCGTGACATCTAACCCATGACCCATAAGTGCAAAGTTCACCAGTAAAACACGGCTCCAACTTTGTTCGGAGAGAGTGGAGAAAGAGAGAGATACGAGTCACAAGACAAGACCATACCGAAATAGATCATAGCAAACGTCGAGAAAAAAAACGATAGTACGATATAGTAGTAGCGACCTAGCCAATTCCTCGGACACTTTTCGACATGGCATACCCACGAACGAGATGCGGTGGCCAAACAACGGGCCGCTTGTGTGCGAGAGCGAGCGCACGTGTGTCTCCCCAACGCGTGGCCTTTTCGCAGTGCCATAACCACGGCAAGAGGGGGGTGGCGGGTTCCTATAAGATCCAAGTGTTGGATTAGTCAGCAAGTGTGTGTGTCTGCAATGGCAACAGCAAGAAAACAATCAACAATCAACGTCATGATATTATTACAGACCAGGATTGGATGTTGTGCGTTACCTGTACCTGTAGTACACATTGGCATCACATGTTATATGTTCACCCTTCATCCTTCATGCTGTTATGGTCCTCTCCACCACTGCAACAGCAGAAGCAGAGCGGCTTGGCTTGGAGCTACGTAGTCCAGGGGCCTAAAGTTAGGCCCTGTGTGGGTTAGATAGTAGGGTCTCTCCTAGAAATGTAGTATCACACCTATATATGGACACAGCCACACAGAGGATACGATCAGTGAGATTGTGGAGAAACATTCGATTCTGCATCACACTCGAGAGTCCACGACCACACGTGCCATGGTCCTAATGCTTGCCGCCGCCATTCAACCATCAACCCTTCTGGCAAATCAACTTTACTGTTCTCTCACTTTCCTTTCTCTTTCTTTTCTATTCAGAGCACTTTTGGGAGTTCATGCTCAAACCATTAGGCACTGAGCTTTTCTTTCATGTTTGTTCATCTTTTTTAGAACAATTTTATGTGTTCAATGCTCAACCAATATGGTACTCAATTTCCATTTTTTTCTTTTATTTTAAAGTAATCTTTCTTGGTTGTAGAACAGTTTACAAAGAATCTATTTCAGGGTACAACCAACAACCCTTCTGGCAATCAACTTTGCTTTTCTCTCACTTTCCTTTCTTTTTCTTTTCAATTCGGAGCACTTTTGGGAGTTCAATGCCCAACCCTTTTGGCACTCAACTTGCTCATTCTCTCCTTTCTGTTTCTCAAATTTAAGGGCACTTTTGTGGGTTCAATACTCAAGCACTGTGACACTTCCTTTTTCTGTTTTTCTTTTATTTCAGAGCAATTTTAAACTCTAACACGGTACTCAATTTTACTTCCCTTTTTCTTTCCACTTTTGTAGTGGAAACCTACATACCTCTTATACCAATTCAAGTGTTTCGACTGATTCTGAATAAGTTAATATGACCTTTGCCATGCTAGTAAGAATTTATTTCAGGGTACATTGTCTTTCAAGTCTGCAGCTGACTTATTCAACTTTGCTCTCCATTTGTGATAACAAAACCTTTCAAATTTGAAAAGCTTTTGAGTATTGCTGACCTTCGGGGTGTTTTTATCAAAATGTCTGCCCGTTTATTTTTAAAATCTTCCAGAACCTTCGCTATGGTATAGCCTACACGTCTCACTTTTTCTCTACTGACCCAGCCTTCCAAAAACTGACCTACACACATGTAACCCAGTATCTGAACACCCTTCATGTAGTCTGGAGTGTCATTCTAGCTGCTCACACCCTTTGGAAAAACATCTCCCCCACCCAGCAACCTACCCTGACTTTTAATATCTGCACAGCTTCCCTTTGGCACAACACACCAGCTTGTGTATCTGTCTTGTATTGCCCGTATAACCACCCTTCGGTATAACACACCAGCTGCAGTTGGTCATATTACACTCAACAACCTGCAGCCATCATAGCTACATCTAAATCTATACCTTGTTCAAAGCTAGTTCTAGTGAAGATGCCCCTACTGTTCTTAGTGGAAACAAGTTCCACTCTTCGGTGCCAATATCATTGTCACATGTAGTTTTGGCTCCAGGATGAAGCATTACATAGCACCAAAGAGGTCAGATATGTACATATAAATCTGCATCCTCAGAGCAGCCGCACACCCTGAGTTAACACCTCGCCCTGATGCAATCACTCTTTCCTGTGCTGTCTCTGACACCAACTTGGCTTTGTTCCAGGGCTTAAAGCTGAGATTCTGTCAACAACTCCGAACTTGGCACTCATAACAGGGGTGTCCCCAAGTGGTGCAGCGATGGAGAACCATTCTGTCCATTTAAAATGTGTATGATGTTACTGACCAGAAATTAATCAAAATTTGCTTTACTTTAATGGCTAACTTTTACCCTTCCAAGACTGACCCTACCTATAGAACCTATAGAACACAACCTCTGAACTTCTTTCTCTGATCTTAAAGTCTTGACTAACACGATTTAAAATGTGTGGAATATGTTAGAGACCAGAAATTCATCAAAATTTTCTTTACTTGCCCAAGTTTTACCCTTCTAATGCATTGACCCTACCTATAGAACGCAACCTCTGAACTTCTTTCTCTAAAAGTCTTGACTAACACTTGCCACTCAAGTCTTAACGAATAATATGCTACAGTAATAATTGAATGTGCCATTTTGTTTTCAACTTGAAGCCTGAACCATCAGCACATAGTGATTAGCGAAAGCTAAAAATAAGTCTCAAGGCCAAGATAACACTAAGTCTTGCAGTCAGCTGTTCGGCAAAGAGATGCCTTGGAAGTTTCTAGAACCATCTTAAGTACAGTTGTTGTCAATAGAATGACCTTGGCACCATTCCAAGGTCACAGCTGACATTCTGTCAACAAGACGTAACGAATCATTGGCGTATAATCGCTTCTTGTTTTTGTTCTCTTTATACATTGGCAATCTTCATGTACTGTAACTGTAGATCTTAGAGATATAAATTTAAAGTAGCCCTCTTTATATAATTACCAGATAGAAGTTGATCAGTTTAAACAATACATGAATGAAATTCTAAAAATCTGTGTCAGATGTCTGTCATAAAAATAAAAGAGTGCCAATGTATTACTGTCATATAATACTACATGTACTTATTAAAATCTTTTTGAAAAAGCCCAGATTTTGTAATTCACACGTTTCATAAGCATTTAAATTTCATCACAAACTAAATACACTTCAAAGTCAACATCTACACGTATGAAATCCTGAAAATCTGAGTCATCTACCAGTGACTAGAGGCCGTCTAGAATGATCCACACTATCCAGTTACACAGCAGCCCAGGACACTGACCCCTCAGCTATCAGTGTATATTTGGACATTCAGTTCACTCCAGGATAAAGTTTCCTTTTACAACCAAGTGCAGATGTTTTCTGATCTGAACTATGGTCTTGCTCTTGAACTATGAAGTTTGATTGAAATACTGTGGTCACAACACTGCTCTGTACATTTGTAAGTCTAACTCACAAGGTATGTCTATAAATGCAGTAAACTGTTGGGTTCTAAAATCTTGCAATTCTTCCAACAAGAACATAGATTGTTCGTATCTGTCAATTTCTGCTAACTAGTGCTCACACGAAGCAAAATGGAAGTGTGCTTATTAAAGTTGAACACCCCTAGAAATGTTTAATATGCCATATTATCACAAATGCCTATATGTATGTCCAGTACATGGCCTTTGTCCATGAAATACATACATGTACAAGGCTTTAAATTTAACCCCTTGTTTTAATGAGTCCAAATTCCTATGATAGCTTTGCCCAGTACTTGAGTTAGTAGGTGACAGACACACTTCCTGTTTACCACTTTATAGTTGGATGGCTTCCAAATGTACAGAGTCTGGTGCAAGATTGTTATGTACACATGTATTAAGTCATGTAAACATGGTACTAATGTATCCTACTTGTTCACAGTGATCCCAAGGCCCTGGTTTCATTCCAAGTGTTTCAACTTTTCTGTAACTGTGCGTACTGCCATAGTGACTACGTAAGCTTTATCAACTGCAGACGTGGCCAAATATTTCAGGATAGTTTGCTTCACCCTTGACACACATAATTGTACCAGACTGTCTGAATTAACTGTGCCATTGACACTCAGAAAACTCTGGATTTTATCATGTCTTAGTTTGTTATTTGCCAAACACATTGGGTAAGCAAAATTCTTTCCTGCTTATTAATAACAGTACTGTCTTCTCAGCTTGAATTTTGTAGGCACTTTGACAAACCATGGAAAATTTCAGTATGTGTGGGATATAATAATACTTTGATTGTGAAAGCAATTAGCCTTCGGGCATGATTTTGCAAATAGAGTCTTTATAATAGTTACATGTACTGTTGAAAATGATTTTTTTCTATCGATAACACTGTAGTAATTTAGGTCTATCTCTATGATCTGTCTTTTTTGACAGTGTCATATTTTGATAACTAAATCGAATGATAAATTTACAGCTTTCATTTTGAAGTCAAAGTTGGTTAAAAGTACCTATAAGAATTGGCCAACAAGGCCTCAGACAGTACCACGAAGTGTTGTGTTTGAATGGCCGCAACAGATGCTCAAGTTCAAAGTTAGCTGCCCCTTATAAGGTCAAGGGGCACACAAACAAACAGCAACTTAGGTGGGGTAGCAAAACGTGGAATCAGCAAAATACATGCAATTTTCTTTCTGTTCTTTTTTTTGTACATTCAACTTTTCAAAATATAACATACATTTTTCTTCTTTTCTTTTTTTGTTGTTGTCTCATGAGCATGCTCAATAAAAGTGAGGGAAATTATCATGTCATGGTTGAGTTTTTCTTTCTAAAAATTATTTTTTCATTTTCATATGGTGATGAGATAACCTTTAAAAACATGTGCGTCTCATAAGTGGTTAAAATATTGGTGGCCTTTTTCCGGTTTAGTCATAATTTTAATTCCTTGTGCACTGTGATCTGATATTTGATATTTGATATTTTTTTTTCAGCCTGATAAATTCAAACTTTTTCTAAGACATCATCATCACTTAAGATCACCTAAATTTCCTTTCGTTTGCGATGCTTACTATGGGAGAATTGTATATATATTGTACGAGTTAAAAATTTGAACTACTAATACCTCCCTACTCAAATTAAAATGTTTTAAATAAACTGCCTGCAGGCAAGTGCTTTTTACTGATCATTCTGTTTTTGTCTTGATTTCAGTGTTCTTTTGCTAGTATTCTGTTTTGTTTGTTTGTTTCTTTGTATTAACTGACACGTCGAACAGAGACAAACAAAAACAGTATCCCAGACACAATAACTTCCCTCAGCAGTTGCCAATATTATATAACTCAGCTGAACCAATCAGAAGGCTTAAAAGCGGGTAAAACCTTCTCATTGCACGAGGCGAGTGTCAACATCATTTCTCAACACGTCAGCCTGTTTTTTTTTTAATTTCTTTCTGCATTTTTCGAAACAACGGCATGCTTTCCACACCCACTGTACTCATAACACCACAGCAGCAGCCAGTTTGCATACATCAGAGTAAAACAGGTGACTAGGTACAGGTACAACGGTCTGTTATATGTCGAGGGAACTGCACTTTTTCTTAGTGGTGTGGTTTTCTTTTAAGATGGATTATGACCATTGCAATGGGATCAAAATATGTGAAAGTATGTCTCTTTGCACAAGTGTTTGCTTATTTGACAAGGATTTTGATCCATGTTATAGCTTAGTATAATACGTTCATTACAGACCAGAATCAAAATGATGTACATAATCTTTTTTTCTTTTTTAGTTTTACACATCTGAGACATTTGAATGTATGAGAGACTATGATTTGGTGGCCTATCCCATTGCAATATGGGTGAATATGTTATTTTTCTCCTAACTCTTGTATCAGATTTAGCATTAGGTCTGAGAGCTATACAGTTCTGTCAACTTGACAATACTTTAACATATCTTGATCCCATGGGCATGAATATGAACCTATCTCTTTGTAGATCAAAGTATTAGTACTGTATAACGTAAAAAAAACACATACATACTGTACTGAATCAAATATCAGAATGTTGGTGTATGATGGTGTTTTTAAGTTACGGCCTGGAAATCTGGGAAACTGTCAGCGCTTGTGTACCCATAACTATCAACAGACTTACAGTGACATGATGCAAGACTACAGCTAACAGTTTTCATAGGAGGTGAAAGAAGCCTTGACTGCTGAAGTCTCCTTCTATGCAGTCCATAGAATTCATGTTACATGCTAGAGATTGTTAGAACATTTTTGGTTTGCTGTTTTAACCGTTTTGATATCAATTCAGTTACAGATATGTTTCAAAACAACTGTGTTTGAGTTGTCATGTCACACAAGGCCTGATTTGTTTTTATGGTAGTTCAATTCATTATGAAGTAACAAGAAAATTCCAGAAACTCCGACGCCATTTTGGACAGTATACCGTGACACATGCCTTTAAAACAGCCCATGCGAAATATTTACTACCACTTCCTTTCTTTGGCCTCTTTCCAGACCCATAAACAAGTTTGGTTTGGCACGAAGCCAATCTGCCAATCCTAATTTAAACCTCGTCATTTTTTAGCTGCAGCACTATCTCGCTGTGACTTCAACAGTCAGTGTGGCTTCTTCAAATTTAACACAGTGCAAACCATAAAGTATACGTAGAAAATTTTACCGAGCGTGACAACCCGAAATGCACCTACCAGTACCATGAACAGTTGTACCTTCAGAAGATGCACAGAAACAGATGCCAGCAACGAGAAAATTTTCCGGGTATTTCGAGTGACAAACGAAAACGAAAAGAAGGGGACGCTCTTCAATCTGCTTCAGTATCTTTTCCATTTCTTTACGTTCACCTTTTCTTCATTTCACTTTAAGTTTTGAAATTGTAGTAATACTTGAAACAAAAACGGCAGAGAGCGACTGTTTTGAAGATTGAGATTGTAGTGAACTAAACTTCAATTTTAGAAACGTTTCGAATGATTTGATTTCCTAACTAACCATCTGAAGAGTGCAGCCAAACGTTTCGAGAATGAATAGCCAAACGGTTGTCTGTCCAAGACAAAATGAAGCAGATTCTATCGACACGAAATAAAAACAAGAAAATCACAGACTTTGGACGGCAGAGTTTCCGTGCTGATGAGAAACTGTCACGAATAATTTTTCCTTCCAAATGTTTTTTTTGTTTTTTTCTCTCAAAACCATGAAACAGAACATTTTGAAGTATAACTCACCATCAAAACAAGATTTCATCAATGGTTTGTTTCTTCTCTTGGAATGACAGTTCCTGGGTATCTGTAGTGGAAACTCTACCTTCCCAATACCATGAGCCAAGCGCTGCACCCTTGTGTTAGATCACCTCCACCCAACACCAGGGGGCCTACATCCCTCATACTACTGTTTCCAACAGTGGATGAAGGATCTGTTCTCAGTAAGTTTCCATTGCCTTGCTTGTTACTGTTGCTTTGTCTTTTGCAAAAGCGTTTTCCTTGTTTGAGACCACGCCAATTCAGTTTGTTGGTTCTCGGACGTGCTGAATTGCAAGATCAACATGACAACAGAGTTTGAGGGGAAGTCTGTACATTTGTGAACACAGTTTCTGTGTGTGAAAATTGTTGGATGCAAATTCTTCTCCCAGCCCTCTATTCTCATCTTGACCTGTTAGTAATTTTTCTTCTTAAATGTCCGTGAACCAAAGAAGTGAATTGGTGTAGTCCTAATGTTTATGCGTTTGTCTGGGATTTTGCGTTAGCCCCTCATAAGTGGGAAGCTGTACTTCAGCGCAAGCAGTTTGAAGCTCAACTCCCCATCATGTGGGACCTTTGCACATTGCTTCATCACATTAAAATTTACTACAAATAAGGCTGGCCTAAAGCATGTAACAGCAGTAACAACCAAGGCAGCTTTTGCTCTCGATAAGCTCATAAGTCAACTTTCATTTGTAATCAAACTGGTTTTCCGAAAGAGGAAAACATTTTCGTTGTCACAGCATTTTTTTATCCACTAACAAATGCAAGACGACAACCAGGAAGAAAAATTCCACAGACTTTCTGCAACTTGCTCACTGAGTCACGTGTGTCATATCTGTGCAAGGTGATGTCACAGAAGCGGTGGATTGCTCATTTCTTGACAAAGACTGGAATTGACTACAGTTGAAAATTTGTGTAAGTCAAGCTGAAAATCACAGTGTACTTTTAGAATACGTTTCTTTTCAAACAAGTTTGTTTCTTTGTTTAAAAACAAATTATTAGAGCTGTAGTGTGGGCTACCCTCCACCCCTGGGTTTGCGTGGAGTTGCCTACTTGGCGCAGGCTTGGCTGACAGGTTACCCCCGGGGCCCCACGAATGATACCAACCCTTGAAGATGGGGCAGGCGCGCCAGATGGTGAGCGGGCCGAGGCTGCCGTACTGCCCGAAACTCATCTCCATCATGAAGAGTGGGATGCCGGCAAACGTCAGGAACAGGATGTACGGGATCAGGAACGCACCTGTAATAATCCACACCTGTTAATATCTTAACATCAAGCTACAAAACATGCATTGTCAGTGTCCCTGGGTCAGGCAGCTAGTCCTTCTGAGGCTTGTATTACATTTGTGATTTTTTTCTGACCCGTTTCTCTTCCCTTATATATTAAGAAATGTGGCCAGATTTGAGCATTACATAAGACTCAAACAAACACAGTTATCAGAGGGAAGAAAATGAAAGAATTCATAGAATCTTAGAAAGGCCACCAAAACAACAAAATAAAGCCCCAACTGAAACCTTTGGTTGCAGACCATTAGATATTACCTGAAATGTACTTCTGTTACTTGCCTTGCTTTAGACTAGAGGAAACTATAATAACAACTTATAGAATTACGACATTCTCATCCTTACCTCCGCCGTTCCTGTAGCAGAGATAAGGAAACCGCCACACGT